AAACAATAGTACTACAGACTGTCCTACACCCAGAGGTGTAGCGTAGTGGGGGCAGGGGGGGGCAGATGTCCCCGGGCGCCAGCTAGTTAGGGCGCCAAAATGTGCTTTGATATTATTTTATTGATGAAAATAGTGGGTTTGAGAGTTGAAAAAAAAGAAAAAGGGGCGCTAAAAATGGATCTTGTCCCCGGGCGCGAATCTTGTCCCCGGGCGCCAAACACCCTCGCTACGCCACTGCCTACACCTGGCTCTTTATTGATTAACAATTTAGAAAAAAAAAGTAGGCCTACCCTATTTAACTGAGTTCAACCGTCACGCATGACGCTCTCTGCGTGACAGCGGTTTTTTTTTCATAAAGTGTTATTGGTATAAAACATGTGGATTTTGGGAAAGGGTGGTTTTGAAGAGGAAGCATGACACACCAGACACCAGAATCAATAGATGTATATTGAGTTCAATGGCAGCCAAAGGCCAGTCAAGCAAATACATCACCAGCACCCCGGGTGGATGGGACTCGTTAACCTTGGTCAGCAACTCATCTAAGAGAAGGAAACTCTGAACTCAAACCTGGAGATGGAGTCCTCGTAAGGAGTGTTCAATGAAACAATCCTACAACTTGACATAGTCTTGCCACTGGGCATGGTGGTCCCGGACGAGAGAGTGAGGTTGACGCCACGCAACTCTTTCTTTACTTTAAACTTCTGTCAGGTTCACCGAAACATTTTATAGAAAAACTGCAGAAAGTTCAAAACTCTGCTGCTAGGCTTGTTCTTAAGGCAAAAAAACGCGATTACGTCACTCCACTACTCCACTCACTACATTGGCTCCCTATACAGGCACGCATTGACTACAAGCTGTCTCTTCTCTGTCACAACTTTTTCTCGGATTCCTGCCCTTCCTATCTAACTGAACTTCTTTCTGTCTATTCACCCCTTCGACAACTTCGCTCCTCCGCAGACTCGCGTATTCTGTCCGTTCCCAAGACACGCACTAAATTATATGGTGAACGATCTTTCTCTTTCTGCGCCCCCAAACAATGGAATTCTTTGCCACTACACATCCGCAATATACCAACCACACAGGCCTTCAAAACTGCACTCAAAACACATCTATTTAAACTATACTACTCTGACTGATTCTCCTCCTATAAACCGATAAACGTACATGGGTTTCCTTGTAAAAATGTCTGGTGTGGGTGGATGAATATACCTATGGTGTTGTAACTACTCTGACTGATTCTCCTCCTATAAACCGATAAACGTACATGGGTTTCCTTGTAAAAATGTCTGGTGTGGGTGGATGAATATACCTATGGTGTTGTTTTGCTTATATGTTGTTTTTATTTCATTTATGAATTTATGTATTTTATTTTAATATTATGATTATGCCTCTTTGCTATATTTATGTACAGCGCGGTGAGCCCAGCCCTAGGCCGGGGTACCGCGCTATATAAGACCACTTATTATTATTATTATTACTTTAAACTAAAGTCACCCGCGCAAGTCATCAGTCATCCAACACCGGACGACTCGATGGTTCTAGTCGAACCATCTTCGACAGACGAAAAACAAAAACAACATATATATATATATATATATATATATATATATATATATGTATGTATGTATGGCATCTTTCCGTCTGCGGGAGACGATAGATTATCTTTATTGCTTGCAGCTCTTGGTGTAGCTGGTGAGACCAATCCTCGAATGGCAGTCTCTGTTACATTTCCCACACACGAATGCGGTGGAGCAGTATTTACCGGCCTTCCTTCTCGCTCTTTTTGCAGCTGTTTCCGCCCTGTTTTGATCCTCGCCATGTAGTGATCATGCCTTCACGATGCCCCACCATGAGGATCGATCCTCTGCCAGCTCCTCCCAGTTTGAGATGCCGATGTTGGCCGACTTCATGTCTCTTTTACATATGTCTAAGTATCTCAGACGAGGCCGTCCAACTGGCCTTTTCCCTGTCGCCAGCTCGCTGTATAGCATGTCCTTTGGTATGCGACCAGGTTGCATTCGCTTGACGTGTCCAAGCCAGCGGAGGCGTATTTGGATTAACATGGCTGGGACGCTACACATGTTTGTTTGGGACAGGACATCCGTGTTGGGGACTTTGTCTTGCCATTTAATGTCAAGGATGTGGCGCAGGCATCTGAGGTGGAAGCCATTGAGCCTTCTTTCGTGTTTAGAGTATGTGGTCCACGACTCGCATCCATACAGAAGTGTGCTCAGTACGCAGGCCTGGTACACCTGCAGCTTAGTTCTTGTTGTGAGTTTGGCGTTTGACCAGACTCTTTTCTTCAGTCTGGCCATAACAGTTGCGGCCTTCCCTATCCTTCCACATATCTCATCCTCCATTGAGAGGGTGCTCGATATGTTGGATCCCAGATATGTGAATCTGTCAACAGTATCCAAGTCGTAGTCGTCGATGGCGATAGTGGGGAGGGAGTCAGCGCCCTGTGCCATAATGTTAGTTTTCTTTAGGCTAATTGTCAGGCCAAACTCTTTGCAGGCAGCGGATAGGCTGGATACGAGGCTCTGCAGGCCGTCAGCTGTGTGAGATACCAAAGCGGCATCGTCCACAAACAAGAACTCCCGCAGCAAGACCTTTCTTGTTTTAGTATATACCGGGTATATACATATATATTATGAGATAAAATATTGCGTCTTTGTAGCACTGACAAAATAATATATTTTTATCGGCCCAAAATTTTTACTAGAAAAAAAAAAATAATTATAAGCAATAAGTATGTAATAAATTGTAATGCCGTCAAGCAAGTGTTAAGTTTCAATTCAAATACCGGTATATTATTTCAATTAACGAGTGGCCGAGTGGATTTCAACATTTGAAAATCAAGTGAGTTGGGGGAATAACATAGACAAAAATTCTAGTACCGGTATTCTGTTTCTGAAAGAAAATATATTTTATTTAAAATACTGAATTTGCCGCCTCCCTCCCCTAGTTTAGCCGCTTAGCATCGGTAGTAATTTGTTTACAACATATATTTTTTTTTTAAATTAGTTTGCTTTTTGCTCAATAAACTTCTTAGGGGAACGAATCCTCTACCTTGGATATAATCGAATATTATTGGAGTTGTCTCCCTCTCATGAGAAGGGAAGAGAGGGCGTAGCTGGCTGATAATAAATACAGGTTATGAATGAATCCATGAAGCCCTTCTCAATTTTTATATTTAACGCGTCTTTTACTCTGGGTGTGAACTCCCATCCGCTTAGTCAAAAATCAATATGACAGCGTAGTATTCACTTAAACTCCTACGCGAGACGATTCACGCTCTCAATGGCTCAGCAACAATGCAAGGAATGTTGCGTTCTACGTAACCGGAAGTTTTTTCTCGTCTGCTGGTAAAAGTTGCTGCCAGTTGGACATTTGGTTCCTCATTCAAAATGACTGGGCAATATTTCACATATGCATTTAAAGAAACAAAACTGTAGGCGTACCTACTTATGCCTATTTATAGTTATTGAATATCAAAAACTACAACATAATGATCTATATTTCCTACAAACAATTTAACAAGTGAAACAACAACTTATAAAAAAACTGCTTACCCACCCAGGGCATCCACCCCTGAACTTTTTACATGTCAAGCCATGTGCGGCACCATCGATTATCGGTCAGAAGGGGACCCACCGAGTATTTTCAACAACTGAAAAAAAAATGATAATGGATTCGTGTTTTTGAAGCCACGATAAGCCACTAATTCCATGTCTGTGCTTAAATCATGATGGGCATTTTCAACACTTTGGCATGGCTAATAACCCAAATATTAAAAAGTAACGTTTTATTTTTATTACTTTAACAATTAATGTGGGTGTGCAGATTGCTGACAAAGCCAACTCTTGCAATGATTTTTTTCCTTCATTCTGAGAAAGGAATAGGCATTTTGACGCATGGTTTTCTAGTTTTCCTTATAAGCTCTGCAGTCACTTTTCTGTTAGCTTTTATCTACATATATTAGCTTCTATCTACAACACAACTAGCATAATTATTTTCTTAATGAATCTAAATCTATGTTATATATTATAACTATTAGTTAAACAATTGATATTGAAAAGAGTCATTCTGATTGAGGAGTAATTTTACATTTTAGATTAAGCTTATTACAATGTATTTTGTCTCGTGCAATTAAAGCAGCATTTAAACTATTTAAGTTCAGTCTTGCACGTTCATGGAAGAATAGATTAAGGGCTGATTTAACATATTTTTAGTATCAACATTTGCACATGAGACTATGGACAAAGTAGATATATTTTGTTAGTGAAAGTCTTATTGTTTTTACATTTCAATTACTTATATGTTGTGTTTCAGTCGACTGTTTGAATTTAATAAACTTCTTAAAGTACATCGTTGAATTTTACTCATCTATAATAATAATTCCCGAGTGGATCTTTCTTGTCCACCCCACTATAATTGCGCTCTCATTCGCTGCTCCCCCTGTAGTGCGCTTGAACACGTATGCACCAAATACACACAAAATAACATTTAGATGATCAGCTGTGATGCAACGTGTGATTGTCTTTAACACTGGACCTGGCAGCAATATTTTAATTGGAGCTCCAAAAGTGGAATGGTCAGTCATTTTACACGCGCAACGTGGTTGCGTTGCCACTGCTAGTACCATAATAATCAAGTACCCTAGTAATAAAGTAAAGTATTGGGAGAATATGGGGAGAAAATTGGAGGACTGAGGATATACCCCAGGTGCCTTAAAGATATATGTATTTGATGCGAAGTTTGACCAATGACAAAATATGAAATAGAGCATTTACCGTAACTCAACACTGTCTTTATTTGGCATTACTAGATATAGATCATAACTTTTATAAAAAAATTAAAATTATTTTCCATAGATTATTGGTTATAGCTTAATTTTCCTAAACGCTTTTCAATATTTAGACAAATTATTTCCTATTGAAAATAGCATACGATAATTTTGTCATTGTTACTACAAAATGGCATAGATTTCCTGGCCATCGGTTACAGTCTGGCGGCCATATTGGTCGATCATTTCTGGTTCTAGTACCCGTGAGGCGGTGACAGTAAACATTGTCAAAATTCCTCTGCACTCACCAGTAACAATGCCTCTGGCACTGAATGCCGATCCATGGCGTCGAATTGAAGTAGCCCATGAAACTGAGGTACACGCTTTCTATATATGAATATAAGCCAGAGGATGATTTGTTGAAGTGCAATCTCATTCGGGAAGAAAAAAGTACCGACGGATTTAATTCATTCATTCATTTTCGTGGCCGCTTAACCCGCTTCCGCTAAGCCTAAGCCAATACAGCGCATAGTGATAGCAGTAGTTGTAGTAATAGCCATTCATATCAAACTATTATGTCTAATATTATAAGTGTTCTGCATTAAGTATGATTAATAGAATCACCGGCTTGTTTAAAAGTTTGGCAGAATTTAAATTGTTATAAATTTCATAAGCTTTTCTTTCTTTTAAAATAATTTGTTTTAAAAAATGTAGGATTGCAATTGCATAAAAAGAAAATTTGGGGGCCAGGCTACCAATTTGGGGAATAAAACAATTAACTTTAAACAAACGGGGGTGTTATAAGCCTGACAAAAGTGGTTGGTACTGGTAGTCGGTAATTGTTGAGGGCGATGCCTGGGGTTTCCCATCATGGCTACCATCTTTGTTGACATGATCCGTGAGTAGGTCACGGACCATGTCAACCAAGATGGCGGCCAAGTAAAAAAAAAGTAGTGCAAAGACATGTGCTGGGAAAAAGGGAACGGTTGGGGAGAATGCGCTTATCAACTACTTACCGAAAGATGAAAAAATAAGCAATTCTGCTAGAAAATTTGGTTAAATTTTATTTTTAAAAAGCGAAACCACGCAAATATATAGAATTTTTTAAAAATGCGTTTTAAGATAAAATATAAAATTTAAAGAAATTGAAAAAAAAAATTTTTCTGAAAAAGCAAAAACAAAAAAAAAGTTTGAAATTTGGTTATTTGTAGATAAATTTGGGGTAAATTTACGCAGATTATGGACGTTAAATTTACCGCCCGTTTTTGGAATCTTCTGGAAACTCAGGGCGAAAGGAGTGTGATGGATTGGGTAATGAATGATGGTCTTATTGCAGACCGGTACGAATGTCCTAATTGTAAGAAGGGCATGAAATTGTGTGCAAAATAGGGTGTTTCAGATGGCTTTGCATGGAGATGTGGCGACAAAAGCCATGGCAGTATTATTCGTAGTATAAGGAAGGGATCGTAGTTTAGTGACATTCTATTGACACACTTTTGGGTTAAAAAACTGCCTTTGAGAAATATTGCGACAGAAGTGGGTGTTAATCCAAGTACAGTAACCGACTGGGTGAGCTTTTGTCGCGAGGTATGTGAGGAAGCGTGTGTTTTGGCGAGTGAGAGCTTAGGCGGAGTGGGTAAAATTGTGGAGATGTACGAATCCAAATTCGGGAAGAGAAAGTATCATATAGGCAATCGAGTAGAAGGAAAATGGGTGTTAGGAGGTCTTACAACTGTTTAGAGGACGAAGGGTTTCACTGCCTGACGGTGAAAAAAATAACTAATTTCAAACTTACCGCCACACGCCCTGAGCACAATAAGAAGAAGAGAGTGACGTAACGTTTAATCACACCTTTCTATATCCGCATAATTTTAAAGTACCCTATAAGAAAATTAATTTCTCTATTTTTCATTAGTATTTGTAACATTCTAAAAATTCCACACTCTTAATATGAATTTTTAAAACATAAAATTAAACTTTTAAAAACATAAAATGTAACTTTTCTTATAAACTTCATTAATTATTCACATGAAATCTTGTTCAAACCGGTTGTTAAAATATTCCTTCGCTGCCGCCCAAATATTGAATAAACACGCAAATGACTTATAATGACGTCATGGGTATGCCGACACTTCATCCAATGAAAATAAACAATTAAATAAACAAAAGGGAAAGACTCCTGCATATTATTGAGTAAACACGGAAACGCCGTCATGGGCACTGTTCTCAACAATAGCCTGGTAGTCTAATGCTCATTTCCTGATTAAATTGAAAAAATAAAAGCTTAAAATGCTCTACATTTTGATACAATTTAGTTCTTTTGCCTATTTGGTAAATTTTGGGTTAACAGTATGGGTTTTGACAAGAGTTTTCTCACTCTAAGTGCAGTGACGTCACTTTGGGGAATCCCAACACAGGACTTAGGGGGAATAGACCTATTCATTGTAGGACCCAAGTGATGTGTGTTACAACATTCCTGTTCTTTATTGAGCATTACTCCCGTCATAAACAATACGGTTAATATAAAGTAAAGGGTATTAAAATGAAATTTTCCATTAATTTCTATTAAAATTCAACTTAAACGTTTCAAAAGAATGGAATAAAAAGAAAGCACATCCTTGCTAGAAAGACCCAACCCCGGTTTATAAAAAAAAAAAAAGACGTGCATCAAAATTGCTGTATTTTGAGTAGTTGAAATGAAAATACTCGTAGGTTGAAACTTCTGTAACAAAAAGGAGACTACTGCTTAAATTGCATTTGGAATGATCTTCTAGGGACTGGCAAGGGGAGGCCCCTCCCCTCACTTTAAATACCGAAATAAGAAACAAAGAAATCCTCTGGCGAGGGGAGGCCCCTCCCCAATTTAACAAAAAATATACAATAAGAATAGAGTAAGTTGCATTATGTGAATACAAACACCGAAATATTTTTAGTATGTCGCTGTAGACGGAAGTGGACCTGGGGGAACCTTTGTGACCTATATACCGTGGAACACATCGTCGGCCTTATCGTTAACCCAAAATCAGCCTGGCTGCCTGTGCGGTCAAACCTTAATTCTCAGCAAAAATCTAGACTTAGCAAAAACAACTAATTCCGGCAACTCTTACAACATGGAACACATATGGAGCACATTGAGACACAAGAAACACTGCAACCAGCCTATCTCCCAATCACCTTGACCAAATGAGAAAGGACAAGAGAGAGAGGCTGACAAATTTCGCATCTCTCCCTCACTTTAGACAAAATGCAGTGCAAGTCCAGGCTACGAGTACTCGAGCTTCGAGTGTCAATTATCCGAAACATTGGTTATCCGAAATTCCTGTCTTTTTTATTATTATCATTGCTTGCCATGCATGTGGGGGCTCATTGGTGTATAGCAAACACAGGAAAATAATTCAAATAAAACCAGTATCTCTCTGAGTAATCAGAAGTGTGGTGCAGTCCTAATCGAATGCTTCTATCAAAAGTTTGGTGACACAAGACTAAGTATGAACAGTTAAGCATGCAACTTATTTGTTGATTAGCAGAGGATCTGTGCTCAAGTCATCCACTCACAACGTACATAACCCTGCTATAATTCTTTATTTGGAGTTCAAAAATGGGATCATGATTTTACTTTTGTCTAGAAGGCTTGTGTCCAGGTGCATTTGGGGGGGAGGGGGGGGGGTTTCCCTTAATGTTACCTTACCTATTGAAATGGAGATTTTTGTATCAGGGCCATCCAGCTATAAACTGGGTGAAAAGGAATCTTAACCCTTTACAGTCCGATGCGCCCGAAATGCGCCGATTTTTTCCTTAAGCGTACAGTCCGATGCGGCCAAACCCGCCCGTTTCGAGGTTGTTTACTTTCGTTCTTAGCACAGCGGAAGTCCATTGCGCATTACTATTTATAGTTCTACCGGAAGAAAGCCTCGTTGTCGGCATTTATTTCGATACTAGTTTGACCGCGGTGTGTTTAGGGGCTGATTTTCTATGATTTTTTTAAAAGTCGCGATTTTTTCGCTGTAAAAAATGGCTATCTAAGCCTTGGATACATATTTGAAAGAACTTAGGCCTAATGAAGCTTCACTATTTCATGAGTGGGAGGGTCTCTGAAACTATTTTTAGGTTTAACTTTTGCTTTAATCATTTGTTTGTATTTAGGTATTTTTTATTTTATTTTGTTGCTTCTACTTTATTTTCTGAAAATTAATTAGATAAAAGAACCTTCATTTAAAATGGAGTTATGTCCCTTTGCTTGGGCGCTGGGAGTAGACAAGGCTGAATAGGTTGGACTGTAAAGGGTTAAGCCAAATGAGGTGACTTTGAGAAAGTGCTAATTTCCTACAATTTTACACACCTTATAACTCATAGGATATTAACTATCCGCTTCCTAGATTAGACTTGTAGCTCCAATCTGACCAAGCAGCTGTCATTGTCTTATTTTAAATTGCTAAAAATGTATCCTTTCCCTGGATTGAAATAGCTTGTAAAATATATTACTTTCATCTCTTAAATTGGAAAAGAATATGATAATATTCTAAAGAATATGATAATATTCTAAGTTTAAACACATGGCTTGTAAACTTTTACCATAGTCAGCATGTCATTTTATTTGTATTATTACATTTTTATTATTTCGCTAAGGTAAGTGCTTGGGTTTATTTTTAATAGTGAAATTTTATTTTACAAAAGCCATTTTTATCTGATGGGCAATTCTCGAGTAATATTAATTTAAATGAGCCAAACAATATTTGCAGAATATCCTGTTAAGATATTTACTATCATGCTTGGATTGATTTGTAGAGTATTAGCTTTTTTTTTTTTATATGTATATATATATATATATATATATTTCCTGAATTACTTACGGAAACCCAGTACTTCTTAAATCACATCACTATTCATGAGGTGCATCACTGATGTTCATTTTATAAGTTATGCATCTTTCTATAAAATAATTTTGTCTTCATGTATTGTCTAGTTTATTATGAATTTTCTTTCAGGCTGGGAGCACAGAAGATATGCTGGTTGATGACCTTGTAAGACTTTATGATACATTTATTTTTTAAATTAACATTTACTTAGATAAATATCATACAGCCATGGAACATTTAAAATTTATATTTTTTTAATTTGCTTTTGTGATTGTCTATTTACATTGTAAACCATTTTATTATTATTTTATTCTACAATACAAACGTATAAAAAAATCAGAAAATTATAATTGTTTGTAAAAATTGGTATATATTTCATTAAAAGGAATCGGAAAATGAACTTGAAATCACATCAGTTACGAAAGAAGGTGAGAGGGCAGATCCAAGCCACTTTGAATTACTGAAGGTGCTTGGTCAGGGTTCTTTTGGAAAAGTAAGTTTGTAGAATCAGTGCATTTTATTCATTATGGTTGAAATTATAGCTTGAATAATTTATGATAGTCATTAGTGCTACAGATTCACACCGAAATCTATATGTATTCAAAAGAAAATGGACATTTTGAAAGAAAAAAAGAAATTCCTTCTCTTAAAGATAACAGGCAGTGGGTTCACATATTGGTGATTGTCATCTCTATCACAGTATTCTACAGTGAATTATAAAAGGTTAAACTATTTCATTTGAGAAGGAATGAATATGTTATTCATTATCTTGTACATAGTTAAATTTGAATTACAAATTTTGTTACAGGCAGTGTTAATCATTTTCAAAGTTTTGTCATTTGAATCTCAAGACAGTTTTATACACTGAAAATCCATCCTGTAACAGGGCAGTTTAATTGTTTTTAAGTTTTAATTTGCCATTTAAAAACAAAATAATAAATATGCATGTCTTGAATTAAAGGCTAAAAGTAATTATCATGTTTTTCCAATAAAGGTTTTCCTTGTTAGAAAGATCTCGGTACCTGATGCTGGCACGCTGTATGCAATGAAGGTGTTGAAAAAAGCAACTTTAAAAGGTGACTAGTAACTTTTTTAAGATTGTAAACTGAATCTGCTTTTTTTTTTTTTTTTCTTAATAAATGGACATGCGTACAAAAGTTATATAGTTGTCTTTTTAAATGAATGTTCCATAGTAAACTACAGGCTTTAACAATTGTCATTATCTAATTAAATATTTCTTAAAATAGGAATGCAGATTTTTATAATATAGATCATGGAAATTAGTTTACATCCTAGGTAAATTAATTGTGTATTATTCATGTTTTTCCTTAGTACGGGATCGACAGAGAACTAAAATGGAAAGAGACATCCTTGCAGATGTTAATCACCCATTTATTGTTAGACTTCATTACGGTACGATCTTCTGATTTAAACGACTTTCCTTTTTTTTTATTTAAGTTAAATATATAACTTTCTAGCTAGATATATTATTTGAAATACCAAATAAGAATACTAACTTTAAATTTTTTGCTTATCTTTTATTAGCATTTCAGACAGAGGGCAAACTGTATCTCATTTTAGAATTTCTTCGTGGTGGAGATTTGTTTACCAGACTGTCAAAGGAGGTATCCTGGGAATTGCCCTTTATTTTTTGTAGTTTACATGGTGGACATTTTTTTTTTTTTTTTGGAGTAGTTAAGATGGTACACATTTTAAAAAAATGTAATTTACATTGTGCTCATTATTAAATTTTTATTGGTCTTTTATTGAAACCAAATATTTTGTGTAGTTTTGTTTTTTTTTTTTTTACCCTTTATTTTTTGTAGTTTACATGGTGGACATTTTTTTTTTTTTTTGGAGTAGTTAAGATGGTACACATTTTAAAAAAATGTAATTTACATTGTGCTCATTATTAAATTTTTATTGGGCTGATATTGAAACCAAATATTTTGTGTAGTATTGTTATTTTTTTTTTCCCCACAGGTTATGTTTACAGAAGAAGATGTTAAATTTTATCTAGCTGAGTTGGCATTAGCACTCGATCATCTTCATGGCATAGGCATTATCTACAGAGATCTTAAACCAGAAAAGTATATTTTTTACTATCTTCATCATAACTATGTAATTCAATGTACTTCCGAATTATGATTTTTTAATTGTAATTTTTATTCATTGGTGAAAAAAAAAAATTTTTTTACCATTTGACAGTAAATAGCACCAGTTTTTATTATTTACGCTTCCAGAGGGTTATTCCCAGTATCATAAGGGTGGCCATGTTATAGACAAGCCTATAATGATAATTCTTATGAAAGTTAATATTAATTCCATGTTCAAAAAAGTTGTTAAACAAGCCTAAATTATCATTCCTTTTTTAATTTTTTTATAGCATTCTTCTTGACACTGAAGGGCACATCAAACTGACTGACTTTGGACTTAGCAAAGAGTCAATATTCGAAGAGAACAAGACCTATTCTTTTTGTGGTACAGTAGAATACATGGCCCCTGAAGTTGTCAACAGGAAAGGTCATGGAACTCCTGCAGATTGGTGGTCATATGGTGTTTTAATGGTAAACATTTTATACTATAGGCTAATTATAATCATTACTTTAATAATTTTAATGAATACTTTGACCAATTCATTTGAAGTTTTAATAATGTATTCTCCCATGACACCACAAAATGTATTTAGTAAATTCCACGCGAAAAGTTAAAAATTGCTCCTGGTTTTGCAGATTGAGACTTGTGTTTTAATAGTGAGAGCTTTGTTGTTTACTTAACCACATTGTAAGCATGGTGGACAAACTTATTTTGGTGTTACCCAGTGAAATGGGGGGGGGGGGGTGGGGTAAGTGTGTAGGGATTAAAAATGCAATATAATTTTAGAAATTTTATTTTGTTCCTTTTTCAGTTTGAAATGTTGACTGGTGCTCTACCTTTCCAAGGTGCTAACAGAAAAGAAACTATGACTCAGATTCTCAAGTAGGTTAACTTTAGGGAAAAAAATAATTTTATTACAAAACAAGTAAACAATGCCTTCTATGAAAAGAAATAATGTCCCCTAAAGACATTAATGTTCCAAAATTAAGAAGGCTGAGTCCAGGGCTGGATTAACCATTAGGCAAACAAGGCACGTGCCTAGGGCACCAAGCATTGGGGGGCCCCACAAGTCCTCAAGAAAAATGTGTATATTGTCCCGGTAGCGTAATTGCATGGCATAAGCAAATTGCAAATGTAATATTGAATGGCACATTATTTAACCTTGGTCCCAAAACCGGGGGGGGGTAAAATATCCCCGCCCAGTTTTTTTGCTAATTTTTATTATTTTTCTTCGAGGATTTTTTGTGCTATTTTTTTACTTATCTGGGATTTGTTTGTGCTAATGCGTAGCAACAAATTCACTTCCATTTTGGTCTGCTAGTGAAAAAAATTGTGAATTATAATTAGGGTCAGTCAAGCTCTACAAAATGAGCACGTGAACTTGAAAATGTGTTCTGATTTGTATTCTTCACTAGCAGATCAGTTGCATGAATCTAGGAATGAATTTGAAAGATTTGAAGAAGCTGCCAAAGAAATTACACCAGGTGTGGATTATAAGTCAACTTTGACCCGTAATCGTAAACGAAAGACAGTGGTCAATGATGGTGATGCCTCTTAGGTATCTCAGAATGCCAGAGACAAATTTCGTATATCTGCTTTCTACACCATTGTTGACAAACTTGAGACAGAAATGAGTAGACGAGGACAGGTGTATAATGATCTAGCAGTTCGATTTTCTTGTTTGGTGATGTAAAACAAACATCTCAGTGTTGTGAAGGACTAATAAAGGCTTTTCCTGATGATCTGAACAATAATGTATATACTGAACTTCAACAGTTTCACTCATATATTCGCCACAAGTTTCGTACATCAAAATCTGAGAACAACACGTTCAGTCATGTAGAACTCTACAAAGTAATAGAGACAACATCGAGTGTGCTTTTCCAAATGTAGAAATCGGCCTGCGCATATTTTTAACATTAATGGTTACGAACTGTTCAACTGAGCGCTCTTTTTCTCAGTTGAAGCGTACAATAAATCCAAGTAGATCGACAGTAAAACAAGAAAGGCTTGATTCCTTATCTTTGCTGATGATTGAGGCAGACTTGTTGCGCAAAATTATCTTTGATGATGTACTCAAGAACTTTGCCAGACGTAAATCTAGAAAAAAGAACTTTAAAATGTAAATTTTCTATAAGACTTTCTTATCTATCAAAAAAGTTACAGTATTTTTGTCTACTATTATTACAAAATTAATTAACTATTAAATTTAATACAGGTTTTATATGAGTGATAGTACAAACATATGTGTTTACATTTCACCACTTTTTTCTTTGTTAGTTTTTTGCATAATATTGAACAAACCAGCAGTCAGTGGAGGATAGGGGGCCCGAGGCAGTAAGGGGCACCCATGTGGGTTTGTGCCTAGGACACCAAGATGGCTTAATCCGGCCCTGGTTGAGTCTAACAAAATTTTTTTTAATTCTATCTGAATTTCTGCCAGTTTGAAAATAGGTTAACTGCAGAAATAGTTACAATAAGAAAAATAAATTTCACTTTGATTTCATTGTTTACATCCAATCCTATAAAATATTCTTTTAGGGCCAAATTGGGCATGCCACCTTTTCTTAGTCCAGAAGCACAGAGTTTGTTGCGTGCATTATTTAAAAGAAATCCAGCAAATAGGTTGGGTAAGTGCAAATTTGAACAAGAAAGACAATGACATAATTTTAATTAACGTAGCTTTAATGAATTCATTAGATCTTCTGGATATATTTTATAATTATTTTTGTTTTTTAATCATGATTAGTTTGTATGGTTTAAGTTTTTTTATAATTTGATAATTTTTTTATATTATGTCCAGGTTCTGGTCCAAATGGCATTGAAGAGATGAAAAAGCATCCCTTTTTTAGTACCATCAATTGGCTTAAACTTTTCAAACGGGAGCTTCAGCCACCCTTTAAACCTGCTGTAGTTCAAACTGATGATGTATTTTACTTTGACAAAGAGTTCACATCTAAAACTCCTAAAGGTAATATTAGAAATGAAATTATAAATATCACATCAACTAATTAGACATTATTTTAATTTTAGCTTATATAAAAGGAGAACTTTTGAAAACCATGTGATGACCATGTACTTGATTATTTCACATGTTTTTCTTTGTATTCTTTCTTCTCCTCCTTATTGATTTTTGTTTAAATTTGTTTACTGGCAGTAGAAGCAAGAAAGCTGACGTGAAATCAATGTTCTTTTTCATACTTTTTAACTTTTTTAAATACATGCTTTTAAAAAAAACTGTTTTAATTTTTTATCTTAACTTCATATCATAGATTCTCCTGGAATACCACCTAGTGCTACAGCCCATGAACTTTTTAGAGGCTTCAGTTTTATTGCACCAGCATTATTGGAGTCAGAAAATCTTCTGCCTCCTCCAGAACATGCTGTCACAAATAACAATAGCCTTTCCAAGGTACTGTTACATTTATTGATTTAGAGGATTATTAAAATCACAAATTACAAAAATATGAAAGGAATTTAAATCATAATTCTATTCAAATTCTTAATTTTTCTCTTAATTTTATTCCACTGCAGCTTCCTGGAGTAAAAATAAGTTCTTTTAGTGATGATTATGAACTGAAAGAGGTAAGTAATATTCAATTAATATACTGTTAACAATATGTAAGAATATGTTCTTTAAGTCAAGTGCTAAAGTTAAGTACTCGATAAAATAACAGACATAGATAATTTCCTTTCAATTGTTTTGCAGGATATTGGTATAGGATCTTACTCTGTCTGTAAACGCTGTGTTCATAAAGCCTCAGGAAATAGCTATGCAGTTAAGGTAATGTGTTAATGATTATTTATTGACAACACAAAAATTTAAGTATATGATTAACTTTTTCATGCCCTTGTATTTTAAAAACCGTCAGTGTCATCCGAATCGAACAAATAGGTTATCATTTCTATTTTCTAATTTATAGATAATGGACAAAGATAAAAGAGATCCTTCTGAAGAAATTGAAATTTTGTTGAGATTTGGGCACCACCCTAATGTGATAACACTGCGAGATGTAAGTATAATTCAGGATGTCAAAATGCAAAGTTTTTTCAGTAGGACAAAAGTATCATTTACTACATCATCGCCTGGAGGTGATCAGTTTGAATTCCTCCATTGGTGGCATTGACCTGTAAGCCCTGCCAGACAGCCATTCATGGGGAGCATGTAATCATTGTAAAATCATAAAACAACTGACTTTGGAAGGCATCAATTTTTAAATATAATTTGTTGCTACAGTGAAATTAGTTGCTACATGCTTTGCCAGGGCAAGATTGTTTTGCCTAATTATTGTATAATTTAATTTATATGTACATAAAATATATTAAAAAAGCTTCACGATACAGTGGTAGTATTTGTTTTTTTTAACTTTGCTTTAGTTTCTCTCCAATTTTGAAAAAGCATTTGTATAATATTATTCAAATTTTTTTATATAGGTTTATGATAATGGCAACAAAGTTTATCTTGTTACTGAACTGATGCGGGGTGGAGAGCTATTAGACAAAATATTGCGGCAAAAGTTCTTCTCTGAAAGAGAAGCAAGTGCTGTTCTTCAGGTTATAGCAAAGACTGTAGACTACTTACACTCAAATGGGGTAAGTTAAATGAAATTTGACTATATTCTATTATAGTGCTTTGCATATGATAACCCTTTACAGTCCGATGCGCCGATTTTTTCCTTAAGCGTACAGTCCGATGCCGCCAAACCCGCCCGTTTCGAGGTTGTTTACTTTCATTCTTAGCACAGCGGAAATCCATTGCGCATTACTATTAATAGTTCTACCGGAAGAAAGCCTCGTTGTCGGCATTTATTTCGATACTAGTTTTACCGTGGTGTGTTTAGGGGCTGATTTTCTGTGATTTTTTTAAAAGTCGCGATTTTTTCGCTGTAAAAAATGGCTATCTGAGCCTTGGATACACTTTTGAAAGAACTTAGGCCTAATGAAGCTTCACTATTTCATGAGTGGGAGGGTCTCTGAAACTATTTTTAGGTTTAACTTTTGCTTTAATCATTTCTTTGTATTTAGGTATTTTTTATTTTATTTTGTTGCTTCTAGTTTATTTTCTGTAAATTAATTAGATAAAGAACCTTCATTTAAAATGGAGTTATGTCCCTTTGCTTGGGCGCTGGGAGTAGACAAGGCTGAATAGGTTTGGACTGTAAAGGGTTAAAACATACATAAAAATATTTTTTTAAGAATATGACATTTAACAAGTGTCATTGAAAATAAAATAGTGCTTTGTCAATTTTTTTCTTATAATAGGTTGTTCATAGAGACCTCAAGCCATCCAACATCTTATATACTGATGACAGTGGCTCACCTGATAGCTTGTGCATTTGTGACTTTGGATTTGCAAAGCAACTGAGAGCAGAAAATGGATTGCTAATGACACCATGTTACACTGCTAACTTTGTTGCTCCTGAGGTACGTAGAATTATCTTTTAACAAAATTTTTAATAACCATGTCTAAATTTTTTTTCTCATTTGCACTAAAATTAATGTTAACACTGATCTAAGATTTAAAATGTCATTTTCAGTATATAACATGGGATTAAATATCACCAATTATTATTTTATAGGTTTTGAAACGACAAGGCTATGATGCATCATGTGATGTTTGGAGTCTTGGTGTTCTTTTGTATACAATGCTTGCAGGGTAATTATGGATTTAAATATTTAATTTGTTTTTCCTCCCCCCAAAACAATTACAACATACACTCCATATTAACTACTAAATGTCTACTCCTTATCAACTACTTCCTATTGTTGCAATATATGCTGTTGTGAAATGAATACTGAAAATCATAGGTTATTAAATGGCATTTCAATTTCATTGGTTATAACTTGAATGAATTATATTTTATCAATCTGTCATGTATATTTTTTACACATTCCCAGGCATACACCATTCGCAAATGGCCCAAATGATACACCCAATGACATTCTAGCCAGAATAGGAGAAGGAAAATTTTCGCTGGTTGGTGGAAACTGGGATTCTGTGTCTCCACAAGCTAAGGTAGCAATTTCTGTATTTTATCATCTAGATTTAGTTTAATTCTTTTTTTTTTTAGTAACGATTTTATTTTTTTCAATTTTAAAATGAAATAAATTATTATGAGAAAGTTAAAACATATGTACAAAATATAGCATTGTTTATTAACGATCACCTAATGTGATAAATTAGAGACTATGATATGCCAACACTCCTCAGGAACTTGTAAAAAGAATGCTGCACATAGACCCTCATAGTCGCCTGACTGCTGCTCAAGTGCTCAACCATCAGTGGATATCTCAAAGGGACTCCTTGCCTCACTTAAGACTCACTCTTCAGGATGCACAGCTGGTTAAAGTAAGTTTTTTTTCATTAGACTAGCCCCAATTGTAGAAAAGAAAAGGAAGCCTGAAACGTAGGGAACATTTAGATAGACATTTTCCCCGGGTACGAGTTTTAGAACTATTTGCCATATTCTTATTTGTACATTATTCACAATGAAACTTACCGAATATTGTCACATGTAACGTGTTCCACATATAATTCCATGTCTGTGTATGATGTGATATGTTGATCTAATATAATACAATAATTTTACTTTATTTTTACAATATTTAAAATGAACTGCTGTCATACCGATACAACTATGTTAATTACCCCTTTAAAGGGACGCAGCTAACATTAATGGTGTTATGTGCTGATCCTTTGCGCACTCTATCACTGAATGGTTAAATAGGCGTAAGTAGGGTTATGATAATATATCGTTTAACAGTAATAACAAAATTTCTTGAACACCCTTATAATGCGAACACCTTTATTTTAAGACTTTATATCCACAGCCCATATAGTAAAAAAAAATTATAATTTCTATCCACATGATAGTATGGTGAAAAATAATGCTATAAGATGGTAAACTGAATAACTTTGTAAAATGGGATGATGTTGATTACTAATACTATAGCTAGCATAATTAACTGATTATCTATAATCACATATAAATTACTATCAGCTTCATTTTCGAATGCATTTATTTTTTAAAGTGCTATAGATCAGTTTAAAAATTGAGGACTCAATGATTCATTTTAATTACTGAAGAAGTTCCCCTGGGGGTATGACTGAACTCGGTTTAATTGTGTATCTTTGTTACAAGCATCAACATCACAACTAAATACAACCTCTCTTTATCAAGTCTTCATCATTTACTCACAAAGGGCGATTTAAGATAACTCATAAAATCTTCTAGTCAAATGTCTAAGCCTGACCAATTTTTATGTCACTACTGTCACACAACAAATTTTGTGCACTATAAAAATGTTCCATGCATTTCATATTAATTCCTGAAACAAATGCTTTTTTTTTCCCTTTACTTTCAAAACTGTTTTATTGTCTCCTTGTAGGGATCAGTTGCGGCTACTTTTAAAGCCCTAAATTCACAGAATCTAAAGCAAGCTACTCTTGAACCTGTTGGTGCTTCCAGATTAGCTCAACGACGAGGAAAGCCACGTCCTAAAAGCTCAACAGAATTATAACATTGACAATTTCTTCACTTCTTTCAAATGTGTAGGTAAAGCCCCATGGAACAGCTAAGCAATGCTTAAAACAATATAATTAGCTTCAATAAGCAATTGTATCCTTCACTTTCATATTACAAGTAGAAAGCTTCTTCAGAGCACATATCATCTAAAACAAATAATAAAAGTTAGCAAGATTCTTGTAATGATTAGTTATAATAAATGTGGCATTATATATTCTACCTAAACATTTTCTAATACACCCAAAATAGATCTAAAGATGTATAGCATTTTAAAATTGTGTTTCAGTTTATGATTGTTAGAATATTTCTATAATAATTAGACTTCATCTTGTCATGTTTTGCAAACTAAACCAACACATATCTCATTAGCATTTAACTTATCCACCTAACCATAAATTTATTTAAACATGATCAAGACTTTGGCATTACCATTTTTTTTATACCACTTTATCCTTAGTGGCATTATACACCTACATAAGCTAAAGTAGGACTTAATAAATATAAAGTTTCAAACAAGCAGCACATTGTGCTGTTACAATTCCAGTCAGGCTTTTAATTTTTTGTTGCTGTGAACATGAAATATTCAAATTAACCATGCAAATTTAAAACCTTGAGTGGAGAAGATCTGAGTTAGTTCTCATGCTCTAGAAATGTATGAAAGAAAGCTTTGAAATTGTTGCAGATTTAATGTGTGAAATTCATTTTTGTTATTTTACTTTACAAAGTTGGTTATTTTTGTTCTATAATCGTAAAGATATGGCTGGTATTTTAGATTGAATATATCTTATAACTTCACCATGGCTTAGACACATGTCATGATATTGTAAGTACTGTCTGTGTATATATTTCAGGATAAATTTCACCACTTTTTGGCTGGATTAGAAACTTGCACATATTTTAATGCTGCAAATTGAATTTAGCATAATGATGATAATAATGGCTTACAAAATTGACTATATTTGGGGGATTTATTTGTTACAATGCACCCTCTGTTATGTCCTGGTTCAGCTCACTGATATAATGATCTACTTACATTTGTTGCTTTGCCATGTTTTTTAAATGTAGAAGGCACCTTCAAAACAAAAAATTTAAAAATTAACATGTCAAGGATATTTTAGTGGTTGCTCAAATTTTTTTGTAGATTTATTTTTTTAAGTTGTGGCTCTTTTTTTTTATAATATGAATTTTGTGTAACATGTTTGCTTTTGTATTTGTTATGTTTGATGTAAAGGGACTCAGTTTGAGTTGAGTAGCTTTTGGTTATAGTTTATAGACTTGGAAACTATGTTTTAGTTGCCATTACATCTTTTACACAACCTGTTTACTTTACTCAGTGCATGTCATCAGAATTTTAAATTGGTACTTTTTGTCAATATTAGTTATGTTAAATAAATTATGCTTAGTTACTTGAATTGAGCATCTAATGAGTTTCCTGTAATAATGATATTTGCGAATATATATATATATTAACAATAATCTTTGCACACCTAGCTTTTAAGCAAGGACCTGAAATTGATAGGAATAAAAACATACAGAATTGGTATAATATGCCTCCAGCGCTATTATTGATTGTTTTGTCTTTTGTTCCAACAAATCATCAATCCATTAGTGTGCCTTAAATCATTGATCTATTATATTATGATTGTCTATTTTCACAGAAATGTTTAGTCACAACAGTATTGTTCTTGCTAGCTCTTACTAAATAATTGTTTCTCATTTAAGTACCATTGCTAATTGCATAAGAAAAACTAACTGGAACATATCCTGTTGTTGAAATAAATGATCTTTTAAATAATGTTTGGGAATCATTTAACCAAATGGAAACATAACCATAAACAAATTTTTCTCATCCCTCTCGCTTGCTGCATTAAGAGTTGTAGAATTTATCTTATATATATAGTCTGCAAATGGTGGGATTCATTGTTTGAAGAAAGGATCAACAAAGATGTTGCATTTCTTAACTGAAATTTCTTCATTTAAATTGCTATATAATTGTTAGAGGCTTATATAATTGCGCCAAAGCTTATATAATTGCGCCATGTATGTTTAGCCTTTTGTTCAATTATACTTTTTTTTTACCACTGTACCTTTAATGGATTTTATGACTATCAAAGACTTTTGCTTATTTTATTTTTATATATTTTTTATAAATAAAATGGTAACCATTTTCAGTTTTCTGTAAACTAGACTAAACATATATTTATGTGAGATGAGGCGCTATCAATGTTTGGTTCCAGATGTGATACAATTGAGATCTTTTCTTTTTTTTTGTGTTGCCCATGTACGAGACATTTTATGTCAAAAAAAACTCCTGATTTACTATTATTGTAATGTTTGTGTGATCATATCTGATAACTTTGTACATTTTAAGCTTCCCACAATTAATAACAAATTATTATATTCAGAGCTGTGATGGATGAGCTTTATGTAATAATGTCACTTCCCTCATTCAGTGAAGAATCGTTTGCCACCATAAGCTTCCTTAAGAGGCCACTTTGTGTAATGCTGGTTTCAGAAAGCGTTGACAGTGTTTGCCTATGTTCCTCTATGACTAATGCTTAAAACAGCATTGAAATGTCTTGTGAGTACAATAGTCGACCTCCATTATGTGCTGTTTACCGTCTGTTGTGCACCAATTCATTTTATATATATATATATATACAGAGATTTTCCAATGACAAGGTTACATATCAACTACTACTCTTCTCTACAGGTCCAACACTAATGTAAACTAAGAAATCTACAGGGTGAGGGGTGACTGCAGGCAGAACTACATACTATGTTGTGATACTGCTTTACAAACAATCAATGTGTCAGAGTGCAAGAGAATCCTGTTTAAATGAAACTTCTTTGTTAAATGTGCTGGCTGTGCTAATTTTTCTAGTCTAATTTTATCTGCTCTTGATTCTTCTATAGACTTGGTGGTATCTCCCTTTTTTCTGCTTCAATACTAAGTGATTTAATCATGCAGATGGTTGAAATATTTATTAATTTAATTAACTATAGTTATGATTTGTTATGTTATACCTGTGTTACAGCTGACTAAAACTTACAAAATGAATCTTAATGCTGTGTCAGCTCATTAAATTTCTTATCACAGTCTGCAAGAAAGAAGAACAAAATTTAATTTTTTATTGAAGTCCATGTGTAAACTTGTCATGGAGATATGCCAGTTAACTGAAAGTGTATCCAAAAAGGACTGCCTGTGAACTTTTTTTGTTTTTTCTATTCTGTACACATTTAGGTCACTGGTTTAACTGCAGGGTCTATTTTGGGCGAAGACTGTCTAAATTATTTTCATTTTTACAAGTTTGCAACAAACTTCTAATTATGTATATAAATTGTACTCTATCCGAGACCTCCACCTGTGCTAGTTTTGATTCGGTCAAATCTAGCTACAGATGATCTGGGATGGCATCTTTAAGACATTTTTTGCAATACTATTCCTTATCTGTAACCCTTTCTTGTATCTTCTGTCCTACCACTTAGCTTAAATAACCTTTTGGGTCAAGTGAGGTTTTGTTTGTATGGGCATGAAATAAGAGAAATAGTGTTATGTTTGAATATATGTGCCAACAAAAAGCTGTTTCTGTATGAAAGTTATTTGTGAATGTGAAGAATGTTTCAGCATTAATACATAACATGGGAGATTACTGTAATATAAGTGAAATATGGCAGAAAATTGGAACATTCTGTCTTCCTTGTTTTTTCATGGGAGATTACTGTAATATAAGTGAAATATGGCAGAAAATTGGAACATTCTGTCTTCCTTGTTTTTTCTTTTGCTATTTTTGCTTTTTACAATAACAAAAAAAATAATGGATCAAATACTTGCAGTGACATATTTACAATTGAAATAAATAACTAAATACTTTCTTGGAAGGTTTTGTCATGCAATTCTATTTTTAAGACACCCAGACTTTGGTACTATTCATAATTATTTTTTTTTTAAATACCATTTTATTTAGGGTTTTTAAACTTGAAAACTTACATCAAAATGTAAGTAATGAAATGGTGTAATTTTAAAATTACATTTTTTTGTTCAGTTGTTGACCTTATTTGTACAAGTTTGAAAATCATCCAGTTATCTATCATTATAACAAGATGACATTGAGGAAATGTCTGAATTTTTTATATTATTATTTTTTAAAAGTTTATTTTATTTTCTCACTAAACATTGTTCTGACTAACCTTTTAGAAGTCCTCATTTCTTGATGACATCCTTTTTTGTGCATCTCATTTTTTTGTTCTCATTTAATGCTTTAACCTTAATAATGCAAAAATTATGCCAAACATTTTACTATCTTTTCATAGTTGTAATGATTCATTGTGTAGAAAACTTTGATAACTCTAGTTATGATGATGCTCATGTTGATTTGTTTCTCCTCTGCCCAAATGACCATACTTTCTTCTAACCACCTAGTGAAGTGTTGACCTACATCCATCTTATAATGACATTGTAAATACAGATCTCACCAATTGTACAAATGGTTGATTTTTTTTTCCTCCTCCCTTTTTGCCTTTATTAATAAAGTTTAAAAAAAAAAAAAAAAAAAAAATTTTTAACAAAAAAAAATAATATTTTCACCACCAAAAGTCAATGCCATAGAGCAGATTGTAATGGCTTGTAGGAGCCAAAATCATTTATTCTATATAATCAATAATAACAAATTACCATCAAGAATTATTTTGTTTGGTTTTTCTATTTGACCAACTGTGACTATCTGTGTGTAAAGTTTCCTATGCAAATGCCAATCAAGGGAGAGATAAGAATCAATACCCGTGAAAATGTTGCCACACACAAAAACATAGCAAATTTAATTTCTCCTGATATTTTATAGAAATGACAAATAAAATTTAAAAAATATGAGTATTAATTATAACACCAAAAATTATGTGGGACAATTTGATGAAATGGAAAGATTAGATGTATTGCTAACCATAGAAGGTGACATAAGTGGGTTCTTGATGTGTGTCTACTATTGTTATATCAAGAAGTAGTCATTGAACACATTTTATTTGGAGGTGTATTTTTCTATTAAGGAAATTGTGGAATAATATATGTCATTGCTTGGAATGAAAAGATGGTACAATCAGAAGGCTTCGACAAGATGCCTTCTTCAGTAGACAAAGCAGAACAATTAATTTTTTTTTTTTTTTTTTTTAAACTTTTATATATTATCCTTTTCCCATTGAACACAGGCAATACAACAATGGTCATTATCTGATCGTAGAATAATTTAGCAATAATTGTGTTGGGGGAAGGAAGAGGGGGTTGGGGGGGGGGGCGTAATTTGAACTTGATAAGGTTTGCAACAGTACCAGGTTATAAGGCATTGTGCTATAAGAACTCTACACCAAAGGATTCACATCAATTGTGCTGGTTTTGTTTTGTTGTTTTGTGTGACCAAAGTTTAGAAAGGATTTGCATTTTCTGAGGCACCAATGGAAATCATTGCACAATGTGTTTACCTGGTCACAAAAACTAGACCATTGTGATCTTCAAGTAGTGATATACAAATACAATAACAACCTAAAAATACAAATAAATATAATTTATTATAATAGTAATAAGCTGATATTTTAAGATAAGATAATATTCTTTTATTGATCCAAATAAATGGAAATGTTTTTTGATTGCATTATACATTTTCAGCACAAAAATAAAACAATTTGAACACAAGACATTTATAATAAATTATTTCAAACAGCCATTCAGTGAGTTCTCTTAGCAAAATCGGGGATTTATTAGTTCTCATTCAGATGTGTTGACTTCGTACAGATTGGGGAACAAAAGAATTTTTATATCTGTTAGTCCTGATGGAAAGAACTCGTCCCGAAGGGCCCAATACTAAGTATCTGTGATGAAGAGGGTGGTATGTATCATCCAAAATGTGTTTAGTTTTACAAAAACATCTTTCTTCAAATAGTTCTTCAGTGAAGGATGTTTAGTTTGTGTTATGTTCCTAGCTTTCTTGATTAGTCGGTTTATGCGGTGTTAATATCAGACGTTGAATTCCCACACCAGCAGGCTTCCAATTGTTGCACTATAGAATAAGTTAACGACTTGCTTGTTTACGCCAATATTGTAAAGTTTTTTGAGGTAGAACAGTCGGTTGAATTTCTTATACAGCATTTGGCCGTGCTCATGCCATGTTAGCTTATTATTAATGGTGACACCTAAGTACTTGTATGCCTCCACTTTCTCCACATTTTGATTTTTTATGTTGAGATCTGTAATCTGGTGTTTCCCCCTCCTGAAATCAACAACCATTTCTTTTGTTTTTGAGACATTCAACTGGAGAAAATTTTCATCGCAACAATTGATAAAGCTTGTAACTAAGTTGCGATATAAGTCTTCTCCTTCAGATATTAAGCCAACAATGGTGATATCATCAGCAAATTTTAAGATTGGAACGGTGTCGCTTGAGCTTTGAATATCATTTGTATATTTGGTATACAGTACAGGAGAGATAATGCAGCCTTGTGGTGCCCCTGTGCTTATTTCTCTGGTTATTTACTTTGACATATTGTCGATTTGTTAAAAAGTTCAGTATCCAAGGCTGAATATTTAAATTGACACCTAACGTGGAAAGTTTCTTTATCATAAGGTGTGGTTGGATAGTGTTAAATTTAAATGCTGATGAGAAGTCTAAGAAAAGCACTCTGGCATATGTTTTACGGACTGTCTAGGTGATGGTAAAGTCTCTCCGACAATATTAAGATTGCGTCCTGCTGTATGAAAGTATATTTGTTTTAAGTGTGTAACACTTGTTACTTATAGTACCGGTGTGATTTTGATACTTATAAATCATGCAGATACACTTTGAATAATACTTTTCTTTTTTTTTAGAAATTATTGTAGACATTTTTTTCAAGCTCAATTCAATATAATTAAATGTGGAAATAATGTATATATATCCAACTGGTTGAAAAGTAAGGGGAGAAATATTTAACATTTTTGACACCTGGTTGTGCAGGGCGATGTCCATCGGTTGGACACGACACTTTGTGTTAAGTGAGCTTTGTGACAAATCTTGGCATTCGGTGTGCTGGAGTTCTTTATTGACATTGGAAAACATCCTGGGGGATTAACTGGGGTCAGCTGCAACTGTGGGACCTGGGCAAGAATTTAAGTGCATGCGTAACACAGATACATGTATTGACATTCCTAATAGAGACCGACCGAAAGTGATTTTCTGATTTCGGCTCAAACCGAAACACGGCCGCAATTTAAAAATGACTTTCGGCCGAAATCGAAAGATAACATTTCAGTTTCTGCCGAAATTTAATTTTTTTTGTTTCCGCCAAAACTGAAATATTTAGGTATTTTGAAATTCGTCCACGCATACATTCTACATACATCAAAAAACATGATGGGGGAAAGTATCAATATTTAAATGAGATCATCATGAATATTAATAAATAAACATTTCATAAATGCTTTGACTTTTAGTATTTTAATTTAAAAGTAATTTAAATTTCTTTAAATGTTTTTTTTTTTAATATAATAAGAAAAAAATTTAGGGGGAAAGGAAGCAAAATTCATGCTTTATTAGAGCCACAATAATTATTATGTTCTAGATTGTAATTATATTATAAAAGAAAAGGGCACTCAAGGGTCTAATTATTGTGGCTCTAATAAAGCCAATGGTCACCTAAATATCAGTTATTAAGGCTATAAAAATATCACCCCATTGTTTCGCTGTTTTCGTCATATTTGTTTTATATAATGTGACCCTCCGCGACGGTTTCAGTCGAATCTCAGCGACTGCTCTAATTCTGATTTGTATTGTGATTGTATAGATTAGGACGATGATTATACTGGTAAAAACCGTTTTAAACCCGGACTAACCATTTTATTTCATAGCATTTTATGAGACAAACATGGCGGCCAAAGTGCGGTTTTGAGAAAAGTTTAAAAAGTCAGTTTGTAGATAATGCACAACCATAATTGTGTAAATCGTAGCAATCTGATCTTTGATACTCATTAAAAAATTAAAAATGCCCCTGCTGTTAACGAGTGAGGGACATTTCAAGCATGTCAGCTTAGTTCCATTTCAAAATATTGATTAGTCAAAAAGGCCTTTTCTACGATAAAAAAAATCCTTCTCCCTACAATAGCATCTTCCTTCACATCAATAAGTCATAAATATTGCCTGCTCCTGCCTACCGCCTGAACATATTTTAGCATTTTAAGCCTTCATGAAGAAAGTTGGGGTAGTTTTTCCTGTACCAAGTAATCCCAAATGGCTCATGGACTTGGCTTTTTTGTTGACCTTACACAGGAGCCGAATGTACTCAACAATAAGTAACAAGACCAGGGGCGTATTGTCAGTGTTGCCTATGACAATATCAGGGCATTCTGCCCAAACTTGTGTTATGGTTCTTAGAGAAACCTCTGCCGTATCCCAACATGAAAAGTACTCATGGACTCGGGCACACCATTCAGTAGTGACTATACTGATGTCATTGCACATCTACATAAAGAATTTGATGACATTTATTTTGACTTAAAAACACACACAGCCACTTTTCACCTTTTTGCTGATCCTTTCTCCTTTAATGTGAAAGATGCGCCCGAACCCCCCCCCCACCCCACCCCTCTCCTACTTTCGCCTCAAATGATTGAGCTGATTGATCTTCAGTGCAATTCTAAGTTCAGGGACTGAATGGAGAAACAGACAAGCATGGTCCCGTTATGAGAGCGTTGCCCTCCACATTCTCTGAGATTTCCAGATTGCTAAATCGGATTGGGAGTACCTATCTGTATGAAAAGCTCTTTTCCACTATGCACTTTAAAAAGTCAAAGTTCAGGGCCAAACTTACTGATGAGCATCTTCAAGCTATACTGAGAGTCTCAGTGGCTTCCTCACTCAAGCCAAATTTTGCCAAGTTGTGTAAGAAGAAGCGCTGCCAGGTCTCTGGGAACGAGCAGTAGGAGGAAGAAAGTGAAGCCAAGTCCTTGAGAACCCTTAATATTTTATTTTGTTATTAATAAGGGTTGAGCAGATTGTAACAGGTGTCGCCTACTTTAATGACTTTGTAATCCCTTTTTTTTTACTTGATGCGGCCCAGTCTCACTCAGACTCTACGTCTTGCGGCCCCCGGATGATTTGAGTTTGAGACCTCTGTTCTATATATATTGAGGGCCCCCGATCAATTGATTGATCATTCAGGCTCCTATATAAATAATATATAACAGAGGGGTTCACGATGTAACTGCATGATTTTGAAAGGAATACTTCACTGCTTGTTACTAAGTTGCAAGGGCTACTCAGTGATGATATTATGAACTGGGGGTTGGAAGACAGGAGGCAATAGACACAAATGTATCAAGTTTAGTCGCCTCAATTGTAGCTTTTGGAAGCTTGTTACAGTCCCTTATTGTCTTTGGCTGGAATGAGGAGCTCCTTTACTGAGTTCTTGTTTTTATGAGTCGGAACTGCCTGTCTTCAAACAATATTAAATTAAAATTTTCAATTGAACTCAAATAAAGAAAATGTTTATTAATATCAAAAGAGCAAAATTCAAACTTGCAAATAAAAAGCTTTAAGTTTCTTTGATTTAATAAACGCGTGTGAGAAAATTGAAAATGTATTATGTTCCCCTTTTTAAAAGTAAAATTAATTAATATAATTGATTGCTTTTTAAAACTGTTATTAAACCACACCAAATTTTAGCTTTGTATTTTTAACATTTAAAAATAGTTTACTAATTTTTCATTTAAAAAAAAATACTTTTATCAAATTTATAAAGTAATGAAAACTTAACTTCTAAACATAATAATTTTAGTAAGAAAGTGCCGCTGAAGTCAATAATTAGTGCAGCGAAACTTCATAGCCAAATAGCACTCACTAATGCACTTATCACTCATCCAACTAAAAACAAACCACATATGAAGTTGCATTTGGTTAAATTTGATATCAATATCTCAAAACCCAATCGTGTGACCGATTTGAACAATGGTATAGTTTTTAATGTCGTGTGACCGATTTGAACATTGGTATAGTTTTTAATGCCGTGTGACCGATTTGAACATTGGTATAGTTTTTAATGTCGTGTGACCGATTTGAACATTGGTATAGTTTTTAATGTCGTGTGACCGATTTGAACATTGGTATAGTTTTTAATGTCGTGTGACCGATTTGAACATTAATATAGTTTTTAATGTCGTGGGACCAATTTGAACATTGGTATAGTTTTTAATGTCGTGTGACCGATTTGAACATTGGTATAGTTTTTAATGTAAAAATAAATAACCATACTATTTCAATATACGGAATTATGCGTAGAATAAGAGGCGAAGAAAGAGGCAGTTTGGATAGAAGTCTAGAGACGATCCACATTAGTCGCGGGAACAATATTTCAGTATAGAATATATCTTTGGTATAGGTGACAGGCGTTGGAAACACTGAAGACATGTTTGTTGCAACTTAACGCTAATTTTTTTATTAAAAAATTCCATATGATATTCATATACCCTGCACCATGACCATGACATGGATAATTAATTTGAGTAAACACAGTGTGGATTTAGCCATGGCTTTGACAAGTGGTGATTAGCGGGATGTAGATGGTTCGGACTTATTAGAAGTACTGAAAGTCCTGAGAGAAATTATTGCAGTAGAAGTATTAACATCTTTACAGTGTCTTCAGTTAATTGTGCCACTGGCAGATTGTTTTCCTGATGCTGCGATCACGTACAAAATAATGCTGGTAACCGTAGCTAGTGCAGAAAATTCCTTTTTTTTCAAAATTAAATTTGATAAAAATGATGTCATCAATCCTTCAGTGTCTCGGGTTCTATTGAATGGACTGTCAATATTGTACCACCTTTAGCTGTGTAGAACTCAATGAAGTCTTTGTCTCCTAGAAAGCAAGGAATATATTTTTTTAAATAAAAGCCATTATGCATTATTAGCTTTTCTACATTTTTTGCTTGAGTTTTTTTTTTTTTGGTTTGTTTTTGGTTTAATGATTAAAATCTTGTAGCATCACAATCATTTATTTGTCTCCTAGAAAGCAAGGAATATATTTTTTTAAATAAAAGTCATTATGCATTATTAGCTTTTCTACATTTTTTGCTTGAGTTTTTTTTTTTTTGGTTTGTTTTTGGTTTAATGATTAAAATCTTGTAGCATCACAATCATTTATTGATATTCTCTCAATCTCTACCAAAAGGTATTATGTTATTCCATACTATAGATTGTGGATCTTAGTGGAGAATTGCCGAATCCCAACAAAAGTTTTAATTCTCTCATGGGTACAGATTTATAACTATAACAATCAGAATGTCTTTGTTCATCAGTCACAATCCATCTCGTTTTAACTTAACGCTGTTGCGAGAAGAACGTTAGATATTTTTGTTTTTTAATTAGCTGCCCAATTCCCTTCTGAAAATCAATCTCATTTTTTTTTACACCCTTTTATTTAGCTTACGATTTTGTCTTTTTGTAAGTTTGAGTAAAAATGTACATCTAAAATTTGACTCACTTCCTGTTTTCAAGTGAGCTGGAACTGTGTACACTTTCCCACCCCCAATGTCAATACAAAAATTTGTGATCATAAGGTCATCAGTGACCTCAACTAACCATTGAGAGGCCTCTAAATATCAAATTTTGGATTTCAAATTTGACCCACTTCCTGATCTCCAATTGAGCTGAATTTTTTTTTTATTTATTTTTTTTATTTTTTTTTCACTTTGACTTAGGGTACAAAATAAAACAGTCTAAAAATAATTTGTAAAAAACAAACTTTTTCAAAAATGTACTAACAGGTATAAAATCAATGTCCCCCAAAACTGAATAATTGTTACAATACTATGGATACAACCATGAAATACAAAGATGTCCTATAACTTCTGGGGCCATCTATATAGAACGTATGCAAAAAAAAAAAAAAAAAAAAAAAAAAAGAGACAAATTTTGACACCCCACACCAGATGTAAGCGAACTTTTTGATGACCCCCAAGCGTACGTGCACTGAGCTTTTGACCCCCTACCTCCTAAAAAAACAACTAACCTAATCCAATTAACTTAAGGCCTATATAATTATGACGTCACAATAAACAAAATGTGTAATGGGTTTTCACTGCTGGCTGTTTGGTTCCCAGAATATACACCCCATGCCCGGGTGCCGCCTCGCTTGGGCATGGCCATGAGGAGATGTGAAGAGCAACAGGTGCCAAAATCAGGGGGCGCCAAAATCATCTTTAGACAGGGCCTTAATATAGAATCCCATATAATTCACAAAGACAAGAGGCACAAAAAATAGTATTTTTACTTGTCCCCCCCCCCCGGGGGTGGGGGCACATTTTTCTGTATGGGTTCCTGGGTTTTCCTCAAAGGGGCATTGCAAAATATTAAACAATTTTCATAATTTTATTTCCACTTTTACTCCAAGGTGACATCTAGCGGTCGTGGTGCAAACACTTGAGTAAGTACTGTTTGCATTTACTAGATGGCGCTTAGTGACCTACACATGTGATCTATTTATTTTTTTCCCAACCCTTTTATTTTATTTGGTTTAAGTATCCACAATTTCAACGTGCACTTGTTAGAATTTAACACAGGTTGCCTGGTGAAAACCTAAACATGGCATGGGCGCCGGGAATAGAAAAATCTTAGGAACCACTGGCGTAGTCCAACAAAATATAGGCCTACTTCACATGAACGTTGATCACAGCGTGTACTAAATATTACTGCTACTACTGAGTAGGCCTACTCTCTGAGCGATATCCAGTGAGTACATTTTTGAAAATACATGGCAACATTATGACAAAAATTCCTAGCATGATACTTTTAAAGTATTCGAAATAGAAACATGTTACTTTTGGACTGTCCGAATTTTAGGTTAATAATTGTAGAATTTTATAATAAATGTACTAAATTCTGCAGAGACACCCCTACCCCGGGCCATACACAGGTGTGCACGAAATCTCTAAAATCGACAACTCCCCTCCTACCCGCTTATTAAGTGCGTGGGTGCTATATTTATTGCCCCTTGTCTAAGGTTGCTCTGTCTTGTCTGTTAGTTTTTGTGTGGTCCAATCTTGCATCTCAATGTTGACCCACTTCCTGATCTCCAAATAGGCTGATACAACGAAAATTGAGTTTATGTGCGCCCCACGCGTTTGTAATCAAATGACTGTAACAACTCTGAAGATTTTAGGACATTTATTTGATACTTTTAGTACATTTTTAGAAAAGCGTATTAAAATATTTTTAAAATAAAAATTATACATTATAGTTCACTCAACTTTGTCTTTTTCAAAATTTGTTTTTGACAACCAACAAACGAGCCGCGATGCGTAATTCGGTTCCGTTCTATTCAACTGTTTTTTTTTTTTTTTTAAGGAAGAAATTTCGGAAAGTAAGCGAGCGAACTAATAACCGGTATGACTTGTCCCATCATTATGACAAGTAAGACACATAATTATGACTTTGACGTTCTTAATATCCCTTCTGCCGGGATATGTAACGTCAAATGCACCGCTAGTTCAATTTGTCCAAGGCCCTGCACCCTCCTAGCGCCGGCCCTTGACCGTAGTTTCTATTAGCATACACATTTGGGTTTATTTACTTATTTTAACCTTGAAAATGAAACTGCTCATTTAGTCGATATGTTGCACAGGAAACTGCCCTCGTATCATCTCCTAAATTACGTTAGTGATGTCAATTAACTAAAACCAAATTATTAATAGCTCTTAACAGGTATAATGCTATTTATTTTTAAAAAGTTCTTTGGTATAATCATTTTAATGAACAGAAAGGAGCCGTTGCGGAAATATATTACATTAAGAAATGGCGTCAGCGGGCCGTCGAGCTTGCGCTCTTTATGCCCTCCCCAAAACACCCCTCCCCAACCCGGTATCGGCCGCGGAGCGGCACGTCGGGGATGTCCCTTTGTCAGGATGGCCCCCACCCGAGTCTGCTCGACCAGGTCTCCGCCGGGGGCCGTCCTAACCCAAAGACACCCGGTCGGTCCGACACTGTGTTTGAACACAGTGCACACGGTCGACTTTCTCACTTTGCCGTTGCTAAATCGTTCCATCTATATAATTGTTTTAGCTTTAAGCTATCGGTAATCATGTTCACGCTAACACATTAATTATTGATCGTAAATCACAGATAACGGTTGGGTCAGTTTCAATGTAAATGTAATGGAATTTAATTTTAATTTTCATGGGAATTTTTAATAAACATAACACCGCATGAAACATCTCGTAAAATCACGAATCATTATGGGCAGTCACGAGATTTACAGCATTGGAAGCCATTTTGTTCTCTGCGTTTTGTTCCCGCCTATGTTTACTTGTTTAAGGGAATAAAATACCTCTAAGGAAAATCTAATACGTTACAAATGTTGTAAAGAATATATTTTCACAGTCCTTCGTAATCTTTGTCCAACATTTCTGCCGTACTCATTACACAATAAGTAAGAGGTTTTCAACTGCTTGTTTATTTTGTCTCGGACTACTCTATTTCCACTTTAGTCGCATAAAATGTTTTCATAAGTTACTTTTCACTGATTCAGTAATGGCAGTGTTCAGTAATGCGTTAAGGAGGACTTGTTTGAAAGCAATTAAAGCGTTAGGTCAAAACACTGAAAAATAACTGTTTTGATGACCTGTGCCTTATTATTTCAAAAAGAATTTACAAAATTTCGCTTTGTAACACTTAATGTTTAGTTTTGATTCAAGACCAACCCAAATGACCTGAGGGTCCAGACTATTCCATTCATTGGGATATCCTTATTTATTACAATTACTTAGTTTATTATTCATTAGAACTAATAGGGTGAAACACTGAACACTAATATATTGATTGATAGGCCTTAAGCTTATTCTGAATTCAGTCTGTGGCTTTTTTTTTTTTACTTCTGATATTATTATTAGTTAAGTGGTTGCTGGAAATCAAACATAATTTTGAAATAATCAATAATGCCTACACTAAAAATATATTTTTCATGATATTTTTGCAAGGTCTAGGTAGAATATTTACTATGCATACTGCATACATACTATAAAGTAAAGGCCTAACCGTTAGGCTTATGGCCTAAGTCTGAGTGTTGGGGGTTTAATCATAAATTATTAAATAAGACTAAGACCTATAGGCTATAGGACTAAGAAGTAGGCCTAAATATTTAATTAATAGCATGGCTTAAGTCTTTATTTAGGTTATAATTAGGCTATTTAGGTCTTTTTAGAGTCTGACTGTAGACAACCTGCACAACAAAATAAATCATGATAAATAGCCTAATTTGAAGGCTAATTAAGAACAAAGTGAAAGCAACATGATGGGGCTAGTTGAGTCCTATAAATAATTGCTGCTAGTCATAGCTCACTTTGTTATTGTGGCAGTGGGCATGTGCACAATATTTAACACTTCCTGTTTCCAGCCTCTTGCCGAAAACGTGCCATTGTCATTAGATTATAACTAAACGTATAAAAATATCTGATAAATGTCTATAACTGCTAAGTATCGGTACTGGTATTAAAAAAAAAAACGAAGCAGAGACTGGGCATTATGTTCTTTAGCTCATAGGAATACCACTAATTAAATAACAAAGCAGTAGCCTAACAAGACAGCCTTTGGTCTGGTATTACTTTGACTCAATGTTTGTTCAGTATCCTTGTTGCACTTATGCAGAAATAAAGTTAAGCTAAGGGATGCTTTTAAAATCATTTATTTTTTTGCCTGCCATTTAATACTGTTTGGGAGAGATCATTTTGAGTATTTATTCTTAGGCTTAGCCTAAAAAAAGAGAGTGCCTACAAAGTATAACATCGCATACCGGTATGCCAATCAATTTTAAATGAAATAAATGCCGATAGCCTACAATAGCTTAGTATTTTCTTATATTAACTATAACATTTTTTATTTAAAAAAAATTAGTCCAAAATTTGAAATATAAAAAAAAAAAATTGCCTGAATAATGAAACACCCCATTAAAAACATACTTAAGCAACAAGAACATTTTTAAAATTTGGATGTGCATATTGTAGAAGGGGCATGGGAAAAGTATTGCACATCCTGTTCTTTGAAGACATGTATATTACTTGTCTTAGGCAGGCCTAATATTGCTTGTTTGCCTACTTAATTGAGAATTTGAAATGCATGACCAAAAAAAAAACTGATCTGAAAAATTGTTTATCTCTTAACTTAAGCTTTTAATTTTTGTTATTTTCAGAAAAAAATGTTTTGGAAATTTAATCTGTTGACATCCTCACACATTGATACTCTTTTAGATAAAGAGGTAGGGTTTATTAATTTGTCTAAAATTATGAAAAATATGAACATCATGCAATAGGTTAGCTAATGTTATAAAAAAGTAATTATGCTTAAGGCTTTTTATTTTGTAATACCCAATAATAAACCTTTGTAATGATCAAATAAGAAAAATAAAATCTATAAATGATTTTAAAAATGAAACTATCTTGCTTATGTTAACTTTCAATATAAATATGAACAATACATTATAGGACTTAATTCCTCTTCCCATTAAAATTTTTTTTGAGTTAATTGTTTATGAAATTTAGGAAGAAAGAAAAAGTGTAAATGTAATTTGATTAACAGAATAATACATGTATGTATTTTTTAAAGGTCATTTCAAACAATCAAGTCTTATTAAAATGAACTCTTTTTAGGATGTATCACTAAGAGAGCTTATGGATGAAGATGACATCCTTCAGGAATGTAAAGCTCAAAATAGAAAGCTGGTTGATTTGTGAGCATTTGATATTAAATATTAATGATAATTTATGTAATATATTAGGTTTCTTTAACGCATGTACTTTTAACTTATCAAATTAGACTATTAAAGTGAAAATGGTTAAGTTTTTGCTACTTTTCATTGTAGGATTTGTTTTCTACTTAAAAATATATTAAAATAATATTTAGTTAATTGTGACTTATTTATATTATTTTATTTTTAGCTTGATCCAACCAGAAAATATGGAAGAAATGGTTAAACTCATCACTGTGGAGCCTCCCCTTGATGTAGATGAAAAAGTCAGATTCAAGTATGATTATAATTCTGATAAGTTAAAAAATAACTGAATGGTGCTCAACACTTTTAAAAGATTTTTCAAATAATAAATATTTTCAGCATGTGTAAATATGGGTAAAAGAAGCATTACATTATTTTGAATAAACATTTAGACCAGACATTGAAATTTCGGAATAAAAAAATGAAATGTTTGTTTCTGGTACCCATATTATACTATTTCACATTGACTCTGTTGGGAAAGTTTTTGTTGCTGGTCCTTTAGAAAAAATAAAATTTATTTTAACAGGTACCCTAATACAGCTTGTGAGCTTCTGACATCTGATGTGACTCAAATTAATGATAAACTTGCAGGGGATGAGGAGCTTGTTGACAAACTTTATGCATTTCTTGAGGGTGAAAAGCCCTTGAATCCTCTACTTGCTTCATTTTTTAGCAAAGTCATGGGCTTGTTGATCACTAGGAAAAGTGACATGGTAAGAGCTGAACTATTTGTTAAACTCCAATTTCCATTACTGGGTATAAAATCATATATTATTGACATCTTACTCATCTTTATGTTTTCTAAACATTCTAATCATAGAATCTATGCACATATGCTATACTGACGCTATGCAATTGGAAATATTGGTCTTTTGGATGCATCAATACACAGACAGTCACTGTTTAATTAAATCAATTAAATTAAAAAATTTCCTTAGATTTTTGAATACTTGAAAGCGAAGAGTGACTTTGTGGGAAGTCTGTTACATCACATCGGGACATCAGCTGTAATGGATTTGTTACTACGACTCATCACTTGCATTGAATCATCAGAAACCAGAAGAGCTGTAATTGAGGTAGTAATATGATTTGTATAAATGCATTTAAATATTGTTATGATCTATAAAAAAATGCGTTTAATATTGATATGATCAACAAGGCTTTTACTCTCGTGATAATTATAATATTTATATTCATTTTTTTTTCGGACAGATTTAAATAACTTTTAAAGATAAAACTTCTAACCCAGAATCGTTTCAAGGTAGTCTTAATATTTACACAAGTTTCATTTAACTATTGTTAGAGATAATTTCTTGAACTTCTGTACAATTTATTGTGTCAATTAGGTGCTTGTCAATTTTTATACATACCATTGGTATTTATGTGTTTTGCTATTTTCATAACAGTGGCTGAATGAGCAGAAAATAGTTGAAAAACTGGTTGATTCCATTGTTGCTTCCAAGGATGAAGATGTAAGCAGTTTTTTTATAAAATTCTGTTTTAATTTTACTTTAGCTACCTGGTTACCGGTAAATTGAGTTATTGAGTTTCTGTCATTTTTAGGTCCTTCACAGTTTTGAATAGAAAAACCTTTCATGTCAGATCTCAGATTATGTTCCATTTATAAATATGCAGATTCATTGCAATGCAGCCCAGTCTTTATGTGATATAGTGCGTCTGGGGCGTGAACAATTTATACAACAACAGGAGACATCAGATCCTGACCCTCTATTAGTTACTATGGAACAGTAAGTCATTATAATAAAACTAATAATCAGTTAATTTAAAAATACACCTCAGCCTCTATTTTTTGTATTGTTATTTTTAAGTTTATTTACTTTCACAACTGTAGAGAAAATCCATTTTTGATAGTTTGTGACAGATTTTCGGTTTAATTTCTACAATGCCTTGCTGCACCCATATTACCAAATCCTAGATGAGAGGGACAAAAATTCCTTTATTTAAAAATATTGAACTATTCCCAAACTTCTTTGAGTTATGAAATAAATTTTAAAATTATTTTGTCTTAGAGGATAATGCTTAACCCTTTACAGTCCGATGCGCCCGAAATGCGCCGATTTTTTCCTTAAGCGTACAGTCCGATGCGGCCAAACCCGCCCGTTACGACTCATTACGAGGTTGTTTACTTTCGTTCTTAGCACAGCGGAAATCCATTGCGCATTACTATTTATAGTTCTACCGGAAGAAAGCCTCGTTGTCGGCATTTATTTTGATACTGGTTTGACCGCGGTGTGCTTAGGGGCTGATTTTCTGTGATTTTTTTTAAAAGTCGCGATTTTTTCGCTGTAAAAATTGGCTATCTAAGCCTTGGATACACTTTTGAAAGAACTTAGGCCTAATGAAGCTACACTATTTCATGAGTGGGAGGGTCTCTGAAACTATTTTTAGGTTTAACTTTTGATTTAATCATTTCTTTGTATTTAGGTATTTTTTATTTTATTTTTGTTGCTTGTAGTTTATTTTCTGTAAATTAATTAGATAAAGAACCTTCATTTAAAATGGAGTTATGTCCCTTTGCTTGGGCGCTGGGAGTAGACAAGGCTGAATAGGTTTGGACTGTAAAGGGTATGTTGCTTGTAGTTTATTTTCTGTAAATTAATTAGATAAAGAACCTTCATTTAAAATGGAGTTATGTCCCTTTGCTTGGGCGCTGGGAGTAGACAAGGCTGAATAGGTTTGGACTGTAAAGGGTTAATAACTCAATATCATCAAAAGTGTTAGAACAAATAAAAATTGCACATTAAAACATTTTTTTTTATATGTAATGGAACACACTGGATTGAATCCCAGTAATATAAATTATACAATTTTTTAATCTTACTTTAATTTAGGGATTTGTCATGAATTTAACCCCTTTAGAAAAATGAACCTATTTATACTACTGTCCTTTAAACTAAAGATATATGCTTTGGTATGATTTAAAAACCTTTCATTGATTATAAAATTCACGCACTGTGAATTATTTTATTAAAATGCTAAACAAAGGTTTTCTTCAATTTTAAATGGTAAACTGAATTAACTTTTTCACATATGATTTAGAAAAGTAATTTTAAAACAATTAATGTATATAGTATTGTTAAGGTTCTATGCTCAAACTCCTATCATATATTATTTCATAGAGAAGCAACTGTTGCTAAACTTCTGTCCAATATGTTTGATTCTGACAAGAATGAATCTGTTCTGGTCAATGGTCTTTGTGTGATTCATACTCTACTGGAGGTGCGCAGACAAGGGTGAGGATATACAAATCTTATTTTCTCATTTTATTCCTGTGATGTTAAATAAATGTTAAGTGAATTTAATTTATGATAAAATAACACATTTTAAGTCCATTCTAAATTCTTTGTTTTCAGCACGGAACTAAATGATCCAGCTCTTAATGGGGAACCAGACAGATTTACACAAGGCATTAATAATGTCATATCAGCTATCATTCCAAGATTAAAAGATTTTCATGATCTTCTTGTCAATCCTCCTAAGGTGATTATTTAAGGCAGTGGTTGTGTTGTTATTTTTATTTACATGGAGCATAAAATTTTAGAATTTTTAGCTGTTGAAGTTGTTAACATGTTCTCTCTTTCAGATGCATGCAATTTGAATTTTATCATATTTCATAAAGATACAGTGTTTAACTTGTGTTGTTTTGTTCAGCAACGCTACAGCTGCATGCCCACTTCAGTTGGCATTTTGGACCCGCCTTTGGGAAACACTAGGCTGCAGGTTGCGAAATTGGTCACAGCATTAGTTAGTGCGAATATGCATCAAGTGAACTTAGAGCTTACATCACTTGGAACAATTCAGACACTTCTTGTGAGTATTTTTCTGATTTAAAATAATACAAAACATTTAAAAAAAATTGTAACAGTAATTTTATTGTTAATCAGAAAGTAAACTCTTAAAGAAACATATCTGCTAGAAGCAGTGATTTAATTTTTTAATTGATTTTTTCAGAACTTGTATTTCAAATATGAATGGAACAATTTTTTGCACACACAACTGGAACAGTGCCTTCTCATAATACTTAACAATGGACCTATTGAGGTAGATGGTAAACATGAACATCCATTATTAATACAGGTAAGATGCAAACAATGCTCAATACAGTTTAATGAGTAACATAAGCTTCTTTCCTTTTTAAATGAATACAATATTCTAAATTAATATTAATAGATAATCCAAGGTTTATCCTTAAATAGAATATTTTGTATTGGTCTTTTTTGCAGGCAATGTATACATAATTGTTCTAAGACGAGATTAATCTTTAAAATTTTGTACAAATCAGCTTTGTAGCCTTCTAATTGTTAAATGTTAAAAAATCTTTATATACAGTTGTTCACAGATTTCAATTTGATTCAAAGGCTTCTCAGTGAATGGGAGGAGAATGAACAGCAGCAGTAAGTTGAAATATTTTAAATCAAGCTACTCACCTTTTTTCAAATGCAAAATTGTTTAAGTTCTTTAAATCAGACGGTAATTAAGATAAAATTAGAGTCACATACTGTCACCCTCTGCCATATAACAAAAGTTACTGTCCATTTATTGCATTAGTTCTGTTTACAAAAAGATGCATTTCATTACAATTAAACAGTTTTAATTGTAACAAAGCAAATGAACTATTAGCAAGTCAAAGCAGTAGCTGTTCATTTCTAGCTTTTTTTTAAAGGAAATTTTGATGGAAAGTTAGTCACTGCAAAAAATACTCTCTCTGTTCTCTATCAAATTCAGAAATGCACCATCAGGAAAGAGGAGAGGCTTTATGGGGCATTTAACAAAAATGGCTAATTCTATAGCCGCAATGGTAGACAAAAGTGACTCAAACAGCATGGTTAAAGATCAGTTTAATGGTAAGTAATCCGGGTCAGAGATTTCTATTTGATTTGAAATTTCATGATTCACCTCTTAGATCATCATCCAGGTCCATTAGCTATTGGGAGGTCATGGTGAAGAATTTGCACACTCTCCGCAGCTAAAACCTTTCATATCTCAAATGAACTGCTAGTTTAAGAAATCAGAATAATTTTAAGGATATAGCCTTATTGTATTCTTTATAAATATCTTATCTTAATAATAACCTTTTAAAACGAACTTTCTTCTCATTGAATATCTTGCTCCTGTAAGAAATGGATAACATTTTTGCATGCTCCTTTGTTCCTCAAGTACGTAATTTGTATTACTTTCCAGGGCTTTCAAATGATGTTAGAGAAAAGTGGGAGGTGTTTGTAACCGGTTCCTTGACAGAAGTAAACAAGAAGAACACAATAGAACTTGTGAGTTTTCATTCCAGTTTTTTGTGTGCATCATAAAAATATTATTGCCTTTTATAAAGTTGCTTTTATTTACATTGGTTGTGCCATTTGAAGTCCTTTTAAAAAAAAAAAAAAGAAAAAGATAAAACTCAGTACATCTAGTACATCTAAAAACAAATTATAAATTGTTTCTCATTTTAACAGATGCGAGGCCATCAACTTGCTTCAAGCAGTGAAGATGATGATGCAGATTTTAAAGACATTCCTTTCCCACAAGACACTGCAATGCAACAGGTGAGTTAGATCGTTAGAATGCTGTATTATTGTCAAATTTTTCATTTCTATGGTGAGTTATAAAAAGGTTAGACTGGGTCTTAATTTTTGTATGAATTAAAAATTCTACACAAAAAATTAAACTAACCATGTGCATGTTTTAAAAAAAATTATTATCACAAATATGTTCACGCTCATAAGAAAATAGATTTGTGACTTATGATTTCCTCAGTCAATGTTTTTCTTTAATGAAGAGTTTAGTGGTAAGGTGTTTTTTTTAAAAGCCGTTTAATGGGTTTTCTAAATCATGCCTTACAAAGTGTAACGAAAATCCAGCAACAAATTGTATAAGATCTCTGTAATGAAATGACGCGCCTGGGTGCCCCTCCCTATCTTCCCAGGCCTTCTCGGACTATCAGTTACAACAGATGACTAGCAACTTTATTGATCAGTTTGGCTTCAACGATGAGGAATTTGCAGAACAAGATGAGAAAATAGAGTAAGTGTTTAGATGGAGATGTAGCCAGCAAAGATTCCATCTCAACACAGATTATTCTATTTATAATTCGGTGAAAATTTTTTTGGAACAGCTATTTTATGGAAAATAGTATTATTTAAAAAGATTTAAATCACAGTTATTATAGTTCTCGATAGAACTTAATTCTCAATATAATTTTAGAACTTGTGATCATCTTTGAAAACAGTTACACCTAAAAAAAACCAACAACTCCAGTCTTAGTTTTGTTCAATTTTAAAAAAAGACGGAAAATAACTTATTCTGACAAAAAACCTGAACACAAACATCTTCATTATTTAGTTGAATGAAGTGTTGTACTTTTCCACAGGGCATCTTTCACTGATAGGATATCGAGTATAGATGCAGATATTCAAGTTAGTGATGCCAATGTGAGTTCCTTTTCATCTGGACATTTCAGGGAGAAAATGAAGCCTCATGAGGGAATGAAATGGGAGGGGCATCCCAAGGGCAGTGTGTTACAGCAAGCAGACATTTGTTAAAAACCTTTAAATTTAGCTTTCCTCTTTTTTTTTTTTTTAAATGAAGCAGGGAAAATTTTTTTTTTAAAATGAAGGGATAAAACTCATCCACCTGTTGAAATTCTTTAATAGTTCATTTTTTTAAAACAAGGTTTAATATTAGTGATTGTATTATTTTCTTCAATATTTTTTATAATGATGATGAAACTGTCAATTATTTTAAAATAAAGCCATTCTTGTTTCAAACATTGTTTTGATGATTTAGTCTCAATTGGTATATAATATAATAATTTATCTTTACTTCTACTGTCATAGCAAACTAATGCAGCACTCTTTGAACAAGTGTGTAATGAGAGGATACAACAGTTTGATAATGATGACAGTGATGAAGACATCTGGGAGGAGAAGCCAATTACATTTGACAAAAGTGCCCAACATGCTCGATCAGAGTAAGCCTTTAAAAAAAGATATTTAAAAGTTGAGCCTAGATTTACATTGATATCAAATGTTAATGCCAACTGTTTTCTCTGTTTAATGTTATAGCATGTACAAATGCGTTATTGAAAAACAGTGCTGTCTTCCACAGACGGTTACAAGCAGCTACTGCCAGATGCAATAGCAGTGATGAAGATAGCACAGATAGTGGAGAGGAATTAGACTCACCTATTAAGATTATACAACAGCACACGGAAGGAATGGATGTGGATAATGCTGAAAGTATGCTTTCAACTATATCAGTTAATAGATCCATAAATCTTTTCTACAACCACTCTTGAGAGTAAATAACATGAAAATTTAAATAAAAATATATATCATTCTGGATATAGATGCTTTTAACAATTTCATCTGTATAGCAAATCTAGAAAAAAAACAAATTTAGATCTGTTACCTGGCAAATTTTAGTTAATAATTACACTGAATAACTTTGTAAATGTTGAAGGTTTTATCTTCATATTTTCAGGATACATACATTATGGTACATCAGTTAAAAATTATAATTTTACATTTGTTCAGCCTATTTAGAGCATACAATGACTTCCACATTGTAAGGTCACTTATTTCATTATTGAAAAAATTAAATTTGCATTTAAATTAATTATAGCCGCATGGACAGCTGATTCCAGTTCCCACAATGAACATACAGAAATGGACACCACATCTCCCTGGGAGAAACCAACCCCAGCAGCCATTGTAGTACCTCCAGCAGCACCAGAGGGAGCTTGGGCAGATTTCAACAATGTGCCAACCCACTCTGGGGAGGAAGACAACTGGGCAGACTTCACATCTTTCAGTGATATTCAATCTTCGTAAGGCCATCTAAATCAATGTTATCCGCGTCTTTTTTATTCATATTCTTAGAAAATATGTGTGACCCATTTTAAAAGAAAATTTATTAAAGAGCTACACAATTGTTATATTCAAATAAAATTAAATCTCCAACCAAATATTTAAAAAGAAAAATTGTGGCTGGGGATAAAACCGATTTTTAAAACAACTTTTTGTCATCAGGACCACAACTGGGCCTAGAAGTAGTTCACCTATTGAAATGGATACCACTGAAAATATAAGGGGTAGCGCTTATGGTGAGTTTTTTAATTTTCTCACGAAATCGGTTAATATATTCGTGCTATGAAGATTTATTGCCCTTTTATTTTTTCGTTGTGTAAGAGTTTTAAAAAACATTTTAAAATGGAAAGGCTTTTTTAAAGGGAAGTTAATATAATTTAGTGTCGAGGCTTTAAACAATTTTTCTCTCCAACAGTTGTTTCATCCAACACTAGCAATCTAGGCAAGGGAGACATGCCAACTTTTACAGTAACGGTCACCTTACCAGGTAACATTTCTAGTATAATGTTTCAACTTTAGATTAATAATAATAATAAGACGTCTTATATAGCGCGGTACCCACCGCGCTGCACATAAAAATTTTATCAAAAGAGACATAATTATGACATTAAAATAAAATACATTTATTACCTATTAATGTCATCATGAAAAATGGAATTTGAGAAAAATGAAGTTTTTGAAGTTTTGGGAAAAATATTTTAAAAATTTCCCTGGCCTGGAAAGATTGGGAAAATTGGCATTAAACATCAATGTCATTGAAAGTGTGGGAAAATGATTTGTAAAGAAATCAAAAAAGATAAATTTCTCAGCGGATGCTTCCATTTATCTCTTTAGCTGCACAATTTTTAAAATGAAAAACTACATTTTTTTAAAAGGGCAAAAAAGCGCGAGAGGTTGAGTTTATTACAAAATATTAAACATTTTATTGTATGGTTTATAAGGCTAAATTTTTGGTGGTATCAAATGAATGATAAATGAATTGACCATATGTTTGTAAACTTATTTTTTCAGTTTCAATAAATTGACAGAAAAGAAACTTAAAATGTGAAAACATAATATGCAAAACCATTTTTTCCCGAAATCCTTGGATGATGGCATACATCATCTTCACTGCTATAAATCAAATCCTCTAAAACTACTACAATCGGAATAATGTGATGGATCTTAATCATGTTCACTATAAAAAGAAATAGTATAAAACATTTCCAAAGCTTTTTGAGCTGTAAGGAAACTTATCCGACTAAAAGCCAGGATAGCCATAGCAACAGTATTGATAAAGATTATATGTTCCCGTTCCTGATGATGCATCATGATTTCTTGTGTTCTGTGCCTGATAATTCATCATGATTTCTATGTTTTAACTATTAATTCAAGCAACAAATTACTTTTGAACACACTGGTGAATCAAATTTGTATGACATTGTACATACTTTTATATTGTATATTTCAAGAAACTAAAGTATATCTATACAAGGATAAACTATTTTGTATATATTGTATTTACTTTTGTCTGATAAAGAATTTTTTTATCTATGCAATAATTAGCGGGGTTTTTTTGCTTCCTCTTTATAATATAATAAATAGCTCTTTGAATTTTAAAAAAGTTCTTTTGGAGAATTTTGTGAATTTGTAAAGTTTGTATGAACTGTATGTTACATTTTATTTTGAAGGTGTTACCACATCAGAGCCATCTGATATGGGCCTTACTGATTTAGAAGAAAACTGCAGTCCCCTCCCAGACTCAACATCACCCGGCCAGGAGCTGGAGCTGAAGACTCCATCTTCGTTTACAGAAAATGGGAATCAGCCACCACTTCCTGATTCATCTCCTCCACCGCTCCCCTCAACCACATCTCCAAGTCAGATAGATGCCTCCTCTGCAGATTCTCTAGTTACAAGGTGTGAAAATTTTCATACATATTTATGGATTAGCAGGGATTTTTTTTGACTTACTCGACCAACAATTATATTATCTTTATAATACAATTGTTGATTTAGTTTTAATCACTGTAGAGTCTTTGATTTACATATTTTACGCCAGTATAGTGCAGGAGTCGGTGAACCTTTTAAAAGCTATTACCCCAAAATAATGTGTATATATGTAGATGCCAACATCTCCCCTTGATTTGTAAGGGAGAGAATTATTGAATACTTTGAATATAGCTGCTTGATGTAGGCGGAATGCATTTGGACGCACCTGTCGAAACCCCCAAATGATGCATTTAGTCACTATTGCCGGGAATGAGTTAATAACAAGTGTAAGACATTTGTATGATGTTCATTTTAAACAATAGATGATAAAACCGAAGTGCATTTAACTGTGGGTAAAAATTATATGAAATTTAGCAACCTGACTAGATTATTTTTTTTGTTTAAAACTTTGGACTGGATCTCCCCCTTTCATTTTTTTTTTTTAAAGAACTTGGCAATTTGTTTAAAGCTAGGAATAAATGTTGGCTTTTTTCCCTACAGCACATCAGAAAATGACAAACTGGGAAATGTTTCAACTCACAAGTCTGCCTCAGACTCTGCAGTGGTGTCCTCCACATTACTAATTGATCCACCCTGTAAAGAGAGCAGCAGTGTGGACACATCTACTGCTAACCTTTCCTCAGCTGACTCACCCTCCTCTTCTAGCTCATTAGACACTGGAGTGACGTCTTCACCACAGCCTGACGGAAGTCAGATTTCAGAGAATCACAGGTAAACATTATATTTTTATATATGTTTATGAATTTTCTCTTACACGATCAGATAAAAAATTGTATTAAGTTTATGCATCTTGAAGTATACTGCATGGTATTTTAAATCTTGATGTACCCATGAATGTTTTATAAAAAAAAAATGGCATGGACTTAGATAATGCTAATTTTTATATAATAAAAGAATTCTTTATGAACTTTATGTGTGGGGAAAAAAAGCCCTGTACAGTTGTTGGAAGTAACTGGGTCATCTTTAACTGTTTTCCTTGATGGCAAGTAACAGTTCTTAAACATGGATCATTTGCAGTAGATAGCCAACACCACAGACATTGCTGTGTTAAACATATCTAATTATTTAAGTAAAACGACCTAGTAGGGCAGTTTATAGTATTTTCTGTATAAGGGCCTAACTTAGTGAGTGAATGTTTACAGATAAATGATGGTCGATAAAAAAAACTATAAAAAAACATGGTAATTAAAACATGTAAGTCTTGAAAATAACATTTAAAAGTTAGATGAATTCTCTACCATTGGTTGGTCGAGTAAGTCAAAACTTGTTCAAGGATCTATTAAACAAAAAATAAAACTTTTTTCTAAAAAAACCTTACCACCTATTGTTAATACTTAGGAAAAGTAATAATGATGAGAGAGATGGCAATGACTTGGGTGAGAACTTCAAGTAAGTATGAGTTGTTTCCCCTGTGTGGGCTCCCACAGCTTCTTGTACCCCATATATTTTGCACTAAATATTATAAATGTGTTTAATTTCAAGTGAAACGGGTAGCTTCTGTGTTCTACTCAGTGTGTGATTCTTGGGCAAGGCTAATCATTCCCTGGTGCCTTGAGTATATATGGATGATACCCTTATAGAATTTTAAAAATTGGACATTGAAACTTGGAAACCTGTTTTTGCTAGTCAGTAAACCAATAGTGGTTATTTCTTGATATTTTGTTTGTCTTAAATTAATTGTTTGGATCTACAGTGAATCTTGTGCTTATCAAAATGTTTTGAAAATAAAAAAAGTACACTAGTTTACACAGATCTCAAGATATCACACAGAGTAGCACTGATTCTCCTTCACATGAATAGCTGAGAGTAGTTACCTATAGTAAATTGATGGTTATGATATAATAGAAGTGTATGCTGAACTGTGTTAGCAGTTACTCCACCTCATACACTTATCATAAAGAAATACTTGATTTTTATTTGGTCAATTTATATTCCATAAAGAAATACTTGATTTTTATTTGGTCAATTTATATTCCTTTAAAAAGTATCTTACTTACATATATGTTACTGATTTAATGTTATATGTTTATGTGTTACTGAATTAATGTTGAGTGTATGGGACTATTGTTGATAGCAATAGCAACCTCAACCAATTATCTGTCCCTTGCTTCTGGGAGATCAAAGGCTCATGGCTTTCCTAAAAAAAAATTATGTAGGCGATGGTACCAATACACATCCGTACAATTATCTTTGAAACTGCAAATTCCTTTACCAAACCCATTTGAAAAACATTGTTTAGATGTTTTAAGTGCTTGTAGATGGTAAGTGGATATTGTTATGCTTATATACCAATATATATATATATACATTTAAAGACTGTAGATAGAAAATGAATGAATTAGCAAAACGAGGAATGTGGAAGCTTGAATGAGAGAACAGGACAAAAAAAACAAGGACGTTTCAGCATAAAACCTTCTTCAGCTAACAGTAGAAATGAAAATGTAACAAAGAACAGAGCACAGTAGACAATTCAAGAAGTATCCATTGGTTTCGCCGGAAGTGGGAACACAGAAACCGAGAGAATATAAATATTGACACTGTGAAAAATGAGGTCCACACTAAAAATGGACCAGAATATCCAGGGATACATAGACACACAGCAATAAGAAAATAGATGAAATACAGGGAAACAGAGAAACATCAGTAGGAGAGTATTTGATTAATACCATATGGAGATGTGGTGCCAAACAGCTGAATACATGTATTTTCCATTTTAACCCTCTCTGGTGTGTTACTGCATGAAATCAGTGCCGTAATGGTTACATCCAATGCACCTTTATGTTCTTTTCTGTTGAAATGAGAAGAGACTGGGGAAGGTTTACATTGCTCAATATCCCTTAGATGTTCAGTAAACCTATCAGCCAATCTTCTCTCAGTTTCACCTATGTAACTAGATTGGCATCTACAGCACACAATCACATATATTACATTACGGCTGACACGTGATATATTACATTACGGCTGACACAGGTGAAACCCTCTTTAATGGTAAAGGTACCTTTAGGGAGGCTAATGCTTTCAGTTTGGCGTGTAAAGGGACACATCCTACTGCGGCTTCTTAAGCATGGTTTAGTACCAACGTAAGACAGTTCAGATCGAAGGCGACTGAACCAGAAGATCACCTAGATTTCTGTCCTGTCTAAGACAATCAGTGGAGGGGATGAGAAAACCCTGTTGGTATCGGGGTCAGCAAGAAGTATGATACGATTTTTTAGGAATATTTTTTTGGCAGTTAAATTATGAGGGTGGTAGGTTAGTATTTTATTTATTTATTTATTTATTTAAGCATTTTTTATAGCGCTTACCTTACAGCTCTAAGCGCTTTACAATTATTAAAAATATGTAAACTATTTAAACTGCTAAAGTAAAATAAAAAGGAAAAAACCAGAGACAATAGAATAGTAACTACAATAAAAAATGACTATAGAAACAGTAGCTTAAACATTAAAATGGCTATAAAAACGCATACACTTTGGCACATTTTGGCCTATACTACAGGATCAACCCGAGACAGAAAATGAGGCAGGGCAAGGAGGGTGCATCACAGGTCATAGGCGGACCTAAACAGATGGGTATAAGTTTGGTACAATCTTCATTGTTGTTTTGACGAGTTTTGAAAGCCTCTTTTCGTGTGATCGTGCTGATGTGACCTAGTGCTGAGTCAAGAGTAGTTTCAGGATAGGATCTGGAGCGGAAGAAATCCATCATTTCATCGGCTCTTTCTAGAAATTCCTCATCAATTTGGCAGAGACGCCGTAGTCTAAGAAGTTGTGAGAAAGGTAAAGAGTCTTTGCATGATTTGGGATGGGAGGATGAGTACAAAAGGTAGCTATGGCTGTCAGTAGGTTTGTAGTAGGCAGATGTAATCATTTCGTTTTCTTTCAATGTTACGGTGATATCAAGGAAGTTGACAGAATGTCCAGAGATTTGAGAAGTAAATTTTATGGATGGGTGAAATGAGTTTAAAAATTCTATAAATTTCTGGAGATCATTAGTTTCCATGCTGGTGATACCTATTCCGTCATCTATGTATCTGCTATAAAATTCTGGAATATAGCCAGTATATGCCCTCTCTATCATATATTCAAAATGACCCATGAAAAAAAATCTTGGTGATCTTCTGGTTTTTGTCCTGTTCTCTTATTCAAGCTTCCACATACCTCGTTTTGCTATTTCATTCATTTACTAAGCTTGAATGCAGTCCTTTAATTTATATAGATTGAAAATTACATGCTTTTATTCCATTGGTTATCAACCATCAAATGCATGAAGATGAATAAAAGTAATGCACATCATAATTTCATTTTTAGGTAGGATACATATATAAATATATCAGACCTGTTTACTCGTACGAAATGGCGTGTAATGAACACTTTTGAAATTACGATTGTATGACTAGACCTGTCAGGGCTACCATTTTAAGAGATTGGGTTAAAAATATATTCATTCTGATAGTTTTTTCAATTGAAAAAAAAATAATGAAAAAGAACATTTTTGTTTGCTGGTTTAACTTGTATTGACATTAAACATCCATAAGTGAATAGATCCAGAAATACGATTGGCTGGAGACCATTTATAATTATATTACGTTTGCCCTAAAAGGGGAATGAAGTGATGTCAATTTAGGAGATGATGTGTAGGGGTATGCAGGACAAGGGGGTCTCAATATTTACGTCTATACAATAAAAAGAGACAAATTTTGGTAATGATAGTGGTGATGGTCATATTGTTGCTTTGTGTTTTTATATCGTAATATTAGTGTAGTCTCCCTACTGAAATTTTAGTCAATTTGGGGCTACCCTTATAGTACGCATGTACTAAGGGGGACGGGGTGTCGATTTTTAAGATTTTGCATAACCATGTGGGGGGGGGGGGTGGTGTCTCAGTAGAAAGGACATACATTATTAAAAAATTCTACAATAATGATCAAACTCTGAAAGCAAAAAAAAAAAAAATAGCTTATTTATATCTCAATGCCTTAAATTTATCATGCAATGTTTTGTAGCAGTTATGGTCATAATGTATTTTCACAAATGAACTTGCTAGATATACTCAGATAGTACTAAGTAGTAGAGGTATCACAGTAATATTTATTCCACCTTATGTCCAATGTGTTTGAGACCAATGTGTTTTTGATGTATATTTCTGCTAAGCCAGTGTGTGGTTCTAAAATTTTTGTTTCCCTGGGCCTATGCCAAATTTAGGTTTTTACCGGCCTCCCTGTGTTTAATTTTCACAAGTACACTTCAAAATAGCGAATACATAAACAAAGTAAAATAAAGGGATTGGGTAAACATAAATAAAACATGTATGTAGGTTACAAAGTGCCACCTAGTATGTAACTGCTAACATCAGTTACTCAAACTGCTAACATCAGTTACTCAAGTGAGTTACTGTTGGCACCATGATGCTATGTCACATTGGAACACTGGCTTAAAAGTGGAAGTGTAATATTCCTGTGTGCAATCCACAGAAAACCATTTTAAAAAAAGGAGGTGAGGCGGCTGCCAAATAAAGTTGGCGTGCAAAAGGGGTGGGGTGGTGATGGTGGCTTTTTTTTGGCTTACCTACCAGTACCAGATAAGATACCATTCTTTTATTGATCCAAACAAATGGAAATGTTTTTTTATTGCATTGTACATATACATTTTCAGCACATACATAAATAAATATTTTAATAAAGTCCACATTTTTCAACTAAAACAATTTAACACAAGACATCTACATTAAATTATTGCTCTAGTGAAAAAAACAGTCATATCGTGAACTCCCTTAGTCATAACAGGGACTTATTAGTTCTTATTTAGATTTGTGATTTCTGGGGGAGCTCGCTGGTAAATTCGTACAGATTGGGGAACAAAAGAATTTTTATACCTTTCAGTCCTCGCCCTGAGAGAAAAAATTCATCCCGAAACAGGCAAATCCTAAGTATCTGTGATAAAGAGGGTGGGATGTATCATCTAAAATTTGTTTAGTTTTACAATAAAATCTTTCTTCGAATAGTTCTTCAAGTGAAGGGTGTTTAGTTTGTGTTATATTCCTAGCTTTCTTACTTAGTCCGTTTATGAGGTGTTAATTATCAGAAGATGAATTCCCACACCATATAGATGGCCCCTCGCGTTTGTTTGCTCCACCGCTTTATGCCGTAATGTTGTAACAATTATTTCTTACTGTTGAAACACATTGTGAGCAGAAATGGAGAAAACTCAGATGCATTCTCAACTGTTCCGTTAAATTTCGACATATTTGATACGATTTTAATACCCTTTCTTTCTTTAACCCATTTACAGTTACTGTAATATCATCTACTTTTAGAAGTTACATTTTCTGACACAAGCTTAACTCGATTCCTCTAGACACTAGATGCAAGTAGTTATTGTATAAATTATATATACTGTGTGTTAATTTATTTCTATTAAGTTACTGTCTCTTACGATTTTGAGACAATATTGCACAATTTTAGGAGTTCGAGGGTAAACATGTCTACTATATTTATATCTATATGTATATATATCATGAAAAATTAATTTATACATTCATGAATTTTTTTGTTGTACTGATATAAGGCATTTGCCGAAACGTTTGAATTTGTATCCTGTGTAATCATAATTAGAGCTGAACCTATATTGTTTTATTTACACAAATGTTTATGTATCATTAATCACATTATTAGTCAATGATTTAAAGCTACTTACTCTGTAAAATTGCTCCGAATTCATTCCCAGACTTTGGCTTTCATAAAGTTGGTATTGGTTATGTCAACAACCACCTTCAAATGCATGTATCACAAATATCCTGTCAGAATCCAGACCCATTGTTGGTTTTAACAATTAAAAAACAAAACATTTGCTGAAATATGCTGTTTTTTTTAAAAACTGTTTGACACAAGGTTCACAAGTGTGAGAAATTTGGAAATAAAGAAATACAGATTATAGTAAATACAAAAAACAATTTCTGGGGACCAGGGGTATTTTAGCTAAATTTTATAGGTATATAAATAAAGTAAGGTGTAATCTATAATATAATCCTAATCATCAAATAGTTTGTGTGGACACTGTCATTTGTTGAAGCAGCCTCTAATTTGTATCAATACTTAAATGTTTTTTTTTGAGAATGTTAGTACTTTAAATGTAGTGCAAGAGGATTACACCCCAGACTTTTAAGCTTATCCTCTTGTGCAACATTTAAAGTACTAAAATTATGTCTATAGTGTAGTTCCCAGTTGAAAGATCTACATTTGTCGCCAGATCACATGAATAATTTAAAAATTCCCATCTTATCAGTAGTTCTAGGCTATACCACAGGTTTTTAAGCTTGACTAAGACATCCTGATAAGATAGCAATTTTTAATTTATTCATATTATTTGGTGACAAATATAAATCTTTCTACTGTTAGCTACACCAATGACATAAAAATTAAGTTATTTAGTTTAGGGAAAGTCACATGACATAAACAAAAGCTGTCTAACATGGTGGCCCTTGATCCACACGGGCTGGGCAGCATTAGAAAAGTAATTTAAAAAAACACACTTCAGGATTTTCTCATTATGATTAGACTTTAATTATATGTATATATTTTAAAAAATTTGCTCTAATTTATTTTGTATCAATAATTACAGTAAAATAATAAATTAATTTGAAAAAAGAATGAATTTTCAGACAATGAGTATTAGCAGGGAAAAGAATGAATGTGCCAAGGCTGGAAAAGTTTCTAGGAAAATAAAATTTTACCCTCCTTGCCTAACTTGAGTTTGGACAGCATTGACATATATTTACTTCTTTAGCTTCTTATAAGTTACAGTGTATGCGGGAGGGAACAAAATTAACCATTTTTAATTCACTTATTTGATTCCAATCACACCAATTGCTGTGTAAGATTTTAAGTATCAGTATAAACTATTTTACTGTGTTGATTTGAATAAAAATTGGTCTCTAACCCTTTTATCTGAATTTCTTTTGTCTCCTCTGGTCAATAACATATTCATCACAATGTACTTTAATTCTACAGCTTCTTGGCAGCAACAGGTTTGTTAAAGAAGAAAAGCCCCGTGGCAGCATGTCCAACCGGTCGAACACCTCCTGAGGCTCAAGGCAATGGACCCGTGGCACTGACGTCATCCCCTCCTCCCACTGTAGTTCCACCCTCATCCCTTTCACCCTCAACTGCACCGTTGAGAGAAGGGGAACACTCAGTGAGTCAAGAGCCCGATGAAATTTTATCTCAGGCTCAAAAAATAGAACAGGCGAGGTAGGCAATCAAGGATGTTATGTAGCATGTAGTCTAATCTTCCTGAAAGTAATGTTTATCTTTTTCCTTGTTGCTGTAGTTCACAATGAATCATGTAGATTGGTTTAATATGTTTTATCATAGAACTACAGTGGGTGGTTCTTAGTCCCTTTGAATGTAAATATATGCATAATGAAGATTACCGTATTAAAAAATATAGAGAGACTAATGAAAGGACTATCTTTGTATAAATAAATCAAGGTAAAATCTCTGTGCGTTATTTAGTCTTCATGTACATTACAAGACAGTGTCTGTTAAGTAATGTTTGATCTATCTTTATTTCCCTCTATGTAGTTTCTTCTCCAACTCCTGATATTCCTGATCTTTCTTATTATATGATCTCATGAGGATCAAACCATTTTCTTATTTAAAGTCCCTTCATTTGATATGAACAGATAAACCTTAGATAATTGTCTCATCCATTGGGATTTTTTTCCAAACTACTTTGATGAATGTGGTTGCATTTTAGTTGTAGACCTAATTGATTGGAGAAAATGACAATCTAAACCATTCTTTTCAGAGCTCAAGCCAAAGAAGCTCAGGAACTTTATGATGCAGTGACCATAGTACACAATGGACCTGTTTGACAATCATTGCCTCATCATTAAGTTTTCTTGACCCCTCCCCCGCCAATCTTTTCTGACCCTTGTTGTCTCTTAAACCTTGTATATAATATATTATTATTATTAAAATGACCAGCTCTATCCCTCATTTGGAGAGTCCACATGTCTAACATACCAGTGAGTAAACATGTCTGATAGAAACCAGTTAATGAAAAGATATTACTTAGCTTAGTAGAAATGTTCACTTGTGAGATGTAAGTTGCACAACTCTATTGTAGAAGTAGAGTGTCAAGAAATTATATCAAATAAAAATTTTACTCAAATTCTTGATGAATAACTTAGTATTTAAATCAAGAGCTAACTGTCCATTAAGACTTAAATAACCACTGCAATCAAGACAACCCCAGCAGTGCTAGAGGCATTCACTTCCAAGCCCTATAAAGATTAATAGATAGATTTTAGTTTGTGGTTAGAACTTCCCATTAAAAAATGAGTTGATTTTGATGAAACTGTTGATGTGCTCTGAAAGAGGGATAGAACTGGTGTCTACTGTTGGCAACAAATCACAGAGGAGCTTTGTACCTACGAGAAAATGTTCTGGTTACTTTGACCAAATGATTGTGTAGTGCTGGTATCATGTGTGTGTGTGCCTGCAAGTGTAATCAAATGATTGTGTTGTTCTGGCGTCATGTGTCTGAAAGTGTCATCAAATGGGAATCTTTCATTATTAAATTATGCATTCAGATACAATGAGCAGAGTAAACTAATTATGTCACATGATGTAGAATGAATGTGTTGAAATAATTTATTTATGCCCCCTTTATTTCTTCTCCCCCCCCCCCCTCTATTTTTAACCCCTCCTACCTCCCAAACATACCCTGATTATGACTGAATAAATATTGTTAAAAATTTAGAATAAGAATTTTAAAATTATTTCTTGTAGAACTCAGAATGTTCAGAATTTAAAAAAACCCAACACATTGTTAATATTTGTTGGGTCTTAATTAGAACGGCATTTAGTTTATAATAGACCAGTTCTGGCTGCTAAGGTTACTGATCTATGACAGACTGGTGTGGCTATGGTTAAGGAATTACAACAAATTGATATTTTTTACATTATTAAAAGACAATTTCAAAGCTATTAATTTTGTTGTTTTCAAGGAAGTAAATCTTAGATACCAAAGAGACTTATGGACTTATCTTAGAGTTCTTAGAATTAGTAGCAGAATTGACACTAAAAACACATTTCCTTACACCACTGTAAGTTAACAACCCACAGAATGATACCATTGTACAACTGAATAAGAAGACACCATTACGGTACAACTGTTTGACACCACTATAAAGCTTACCACAAACTAACATGACACAACTATACATAATACCACATAATGGCAGATAAGATACCACTGACACCACTAGCAACCACCCACTGACAGTCTGACACCACTAGCCACCACCCACTGAGGTCTGACACCACTAGCCACCACCCACTGAAGTCTGACACCACTAGCCACCACCCACTGACTGTCTGACACCACTACTCACCACCCACCTACAGTCTGACACCACCAGTGAATGATTCCCCAGTTGATTAATGGTCACAGTGTAAACAGTCCCTCATCAAACCAGGAGCTTCTCAGCTTGGTTCAGAATGGCATGTAAAATAGAGAAGACTAGTTGTGATCACTGTTTTGACTAGTATACTCCCACACTGTACATAGAGACCTGTAACTAAATTTATTCTATTTATAATTGGATTGACATGACTTCTTAGTAATTGACTTGACCTTGTAGTTCTATTTCTCCTCTCCTTCCTTTAAGATTTCTGTTCTTAATAATTCCTTGATTGACATGACTTCTTAGTAATTTACTTGACCTTGTAGTTCTATTTCTCCTCTCCTTCCTTTAAGATTTCTGTTCTTAATAATTCCTTCCTCTTTTTTTTTTTCCCCCTCAACCCCTTCGCCCCCCCCCCCCCACCTTTTTTTGTCACCTGTCATGCTGTTTGCACTTTGCCCCAAGCTCTAAGTTTAACTTGGTTCATTCTGCTAGTGAATTAACATGGTGAACAATAACAGTACAACTGGGAAGCAGGGTGCTTAGCTTACTTGTCTATACATACTTTTTTTAGTGTAAGCTTTGCTCAATGATTACACAAACAATGCATGTGATCAACTGCTTTTCAGAATTTATACATTACCTGATGTAAGAGCTAAGTTTTACTTAGTGCACGCTTAAATTACTTACTAAGTGTAAGCTCAAGGACATTAAATGAGTTGGTGTGAGCTCAAAGCATGGTTCACAACTCTGGAAACTTTCCAGCCATGATTTAAATTAGGTATATTTCTTTTGTAACAAGTTTCATTATGTCTATATATTTTGTACATTTTTAAACTAAGATATACCATGTAGATTTTGTTTCACTTGTGTTTTGAAATATGAGGCTAACCATTTATGTGGTGCAACTAGTGGCCCCATCAGAGATCAATTGTGGCCTGTGCAGCTTGTGGATCAGTGAGAGATTTCTATGTTAAGTATTGTATTGTAGAATTTCTGTAATGAATTTAAGCCACTTTGTTATGTCGGTGAGGTACAATTTGTTCTCTTGAATTTGCGATCTTGCATTTCATTGAATCCAGTGATACACTGATATTAAGGCAATATTTTGGTATGGTTGAGTCTTTCTGAGGAACTCTGTTGTAGTGAATTGGAGTGAGCTGTCAGTGACCGCTGTCTTGATTTCTCCAAGAGTGCACAGGTATGTTGATTCGCTGCACTGTTTGGTCAATGGGGCACTGAATAAATGGGATTCAAATAGGATACTGGTCAACGTATTGTCATTATTTATTTCTTTTTACTGCATTATGAGAGCATTTTGAACTATGTAAATGTTTGTTACAGATATTTTTGACGCAATGAAACGAGTGTACCTAATATAAAATAAGAAGTATATTTGATTCTGTAGAAATCCACATCTATACAACTATATTAAAGTTTGATATAGAATTAATTTGTTTAATTTTTATTCCTTCAAATCTTGATCAAATTATATTATTTTTCTAAATCTAATAAATCTAAATCTTTTTGTACCGATTAAAAAAATTGACTTATAAATAGTAAAATTTAAAGGGAAAAGATTGACTTATCAATGGTAAAATAAAGGATATCTCATTTTTGTCATTTAATCTCTTGTCTTGATCACTTTATACCACATTGTACTATGCTTAGACTAGTTTGTAGAGGTCTTCAAATGTGTGGTTACAACAATCTTATTTGCTTATGTCCTTCAGACTTGTCATTTAACACAAGAGAATGATTTTGTTGAGTTCATTTCATGTTTCTTTTTAGCTTTTTATCTGGAAATCATCACTGGAAAATAACAAAACTCAACTCTTTGCTAAGTATTAAAAGACAAATCAGGAAAGGAGTTTTCTGTTTAGTGTGGAATTAATTTTTTCCTCTTAATTCAATCTGATTTGTTCTGCTTGCTGAAAAGAATTATTATTTTTTTCTTCTTACATGCAATTGTTCACGCAGGAAAGTTGTTCCAAAACAAAAATTTGGGTGTCCGGAATACAATAATGTGAATAATCCTACTTTTTGAAAAGACAATATGTAATCACAAGCCTTGAAAAAATTAATGCTTCCTTATGGATGTCTCCAAATTGATAGCTGTACATATCAGTCTTGAAAAAAGTGGGGGGGAGGGGGGGTGTTAACTATTTCATAGCTTAAAACTGTGCATGCACCACAGTTCTCATTTAGTGGGTAAAAAGTGGTTTTGTTTTCATTGCACTGTTTGGTGATCCTTGTGAATGCAATCAATTTAATGGTTCAAATATAAGTCAAGTTAAGTTTATTTAAAAATGTTTTTTGTTTGGTAGCTAACTTAATTTATCTCTACATTTGGCTGCTGTGTGCTTTATCTGTGAATAAATTTATTTTCCTGCTGGTTACACAAATATTAAAATTAGTTCTATCCCCTTCAAAACATTTTTCAACTGCAAAATTGTGACAGAAAATATTTTTTAAAAAGATGGCAGAAAGTGTTTAAAACAATGGAGACACGTCTTTTGATGGTAGCAATGTAGGGTTCTATTGGTTCATAAAGACACTGTTGAAAGTGTTTTACTTTGCAATATTTCTGTTACCCATTTTATGGTTGTTAGGACCTGTAGAATTCCCTGACCCATTTTAGGGTTGTAGGGACCTGTAGAATTCTCAGACACATTTTCAGGCCATGTTAGCCAAGTGCTCAGTTGCCCCTTTAGGACCAAACTTTGACCCACATCCCACAACTGGCCTCTGCAGTTTGTGTTTTGATTCTTGATTCCAGGTTTGGTTTCCTTTAGCCATCATGATTAAATCCCTGTGCCTTGTTTCTTAATATTAATAGTAGAGCAATAGCAGTAGTAGGTTAGAGAGAAATAAATTGATTTAAAAAAAATTATCTTAGCAGAATGAAGAAAGTGATTGTTTACAATGTTGTTAGTTCATCTGGGACAGGCCTCAATCTAACAAACACTTGTTATTTAACTAAATTTGACAATTTAAACAAAATTTTATTTTATGAAAAGGTGTAAATCCCTGCATCAGCTTCCAAATAGTGACTCAGTTGTCTTCTGGCTGTAGGTTTTTGTAAATTGTTTAGTCAGTGTACAGTGCAGTTGGTGAGTCCCTAAAGATGAGCTGATCTGTTGTATGTTATTGACCCAGTGACCTGGCTTTAAGGTGTTATAGGGTAAAACTAGCAAACCAAAACAAATGAAAAACTAGCACCCAGTTACATGTTGTCATTTTTCATTGCTCAGACATTTCAACCCCTTTCAAATAATTACTGTTAATTTTTATTTACCATGTCCATTGTAATAGCACTGTTGTTTGTGTGTGGAGTTAAGTGCTCTACAAATTGAATACATTCTAAGACAGCAGGGATTTCATTGATGATGTCCATGCCTAAATGACCATTTTATGTTGTTTAGACTGTTTGGAGGACAGGATTTATAATGTAGAGATTGGCTGGACATGTGAGTGTTTGTCATTTTGTCAGCTGTTCTGTTTTTTTTGTTGTTTTTTTGTATGTGTACATTTTGGCCTAGTTTAAATTGTGTAAATAAGTAAGAAAAATATGTTAATAAAATGAAAAGATTTGATACACCATGATTTGTCATGACTTTTGAATCCCTTGTTGTGGTGTCCTCAATCGTGAGACAAAATAGAGTTTTGACTCCATTGTTGGGAGCTCTGCACAGGGCTAATCACTGTACAAAGAATTTGTGATGTTGAGAAGTCATCTTAAATTGACAATTCATCATTATAAAAAGACATCTTTTTATTTGTGCCCAACCCATCGTTTCTAGGATATAATGCCTTTGTTGGGTCATGGCAGATTTTATGAAAGAAACATGTCCTCCATCATTTTGTCACCAAAAATTCTAATTCTAGGGTACAAAGATTTTATTCCTATAAAATCTATACAGGTAATGGAAATGATGAAACTCAGTAAATGCCTGAAAAGAGTTCTTGACCATGCTTAAATATTTAATCTCTCTTTAACTTTAACATCATATAAGAAGGAAAACAATTCTGACTAGTCTGGATAGTTTGTTAGGTGGAACTCACCCTATTTGACCTGTAATTACAAAAAACACATCTGGACTATGGAGAAATAATCACTGGCCAAAGCATTTTTAAAAATATCTGAATAAAATAAATCTAAACATAAAACTGGCATAATCTTGTAAATATTGTATGATACTGTTAATATAAGTAATATAAGATTTAAATTATATATTTATAAGTGAATCCAATCTATATTTCTAAAACTAAAATGTCCAAATTATATACTCAAGAAATCAAGGGAGGTAACAGAATTCGATAAAGACCCTGGAGTTGCACACCCTAATAAATGATGGCATAATTTAAGAGCCAACAATTTGAACAATACCGGTAGTAAATGTTTGACAAGACAGCAGTGTAATAATTATTTTTAAATGCTTTAACATGTAGTGAATATAACAACAAATTACTACACACACAATACAAAATTAATACAGAAGAAGATATTTATAAAAATGGAAACTCTAACAATATAAACATTTCTCGGCATTGGTTTAGATAGCATAACTATTGGTCATTGCCTGACACCTGTACTAATGATGGTAAATGTTGGCCTGCCACCTCCTCATCAATGTTGAATTTAAATCCATCCTGGTGACTTCATTGTCTCACGACACCACAGATTTCAAGACCAGATTAAGTTAAAACATAACATTCTGCCGGGGTTAAACACATACCTGTCACCTGTCCATCAAATTTTCGGCCATGTCCTAAAGGGCAAACCAGTCAGACCTCTTCTGGGTTATTTTTATTATTTTTTAAACATCAGCCTTGGACTTGGAGCAAGACACTTTGACCAGTGCTTTCCAAACGTTGCGTCGCGCTGATATCAGTATCAGCCAAACCGATGTTCAAGCATGGAGGAGCAGATCACACAAATGGCCTCTGCAATGTTAAGTAGTATCCCATCTTTTCCTACATAGCACAGGTTTCTTACCATGACCACATAGTACAGGTTCCTCACCATTACAACATAGCACAGGTTCCTCACCATTACAACATAGCACAGGTTTGTCACCATGACCACATAGCACAGGTTCCTCACCATTACAATATAGCATAGGTTCCTCACCATTACAATATAGCATAGGTTCCTCACCATTACAACATAGCACAGGTTCATCACCATGACCACATAGCAGAGGTTCCTCACCATTACAACATAGCACAGGTTCATCACCATGACCACATAGCAGAGGTTCCTCACCATTACAACATAGCACAGATTCATCACCATGACCACATAGCAGAGGTTCCTCACCATTACAACTTAGCACAGGTTCATCACCATGACCACATAGCACAGCGATAGGGATTATTCAGACACACTATCATTCTTGGTGCAAGGATTTTAATGTTAAAACTTAATATAATTTAAAAAAAAAAAAAGAAAAAAAAAAAGAAAAGAAAGAAAACCTGGCCAAGACCACTTCTGTAGTAAACCTGACCAAGACCACTTCTGTAGTAAACCTGACCAAGACCACTTCTGTAGTAAACCTGACCAAGACCACTTCTGTAGTAAACCTGACCAAGACCACTTCTGTAGTAAACCTGGCCAAGACCACTTCTGTAGTAAACCTGGCCAAGACCACTTCTGTAGTAAACCTGGCCAAGACCACTTCTGTAGTAAACCTGGCCAAGACCACTTCTGTAGTAAACCTGGCCAAGACCACTTCTGTAGTAAACCTGGCCAAGACCACTTCTGTAGTAAACCTGGCCAAGACCACTTCTGTAGTAAACCTGGCCAAGACCACTTCTGTAGTAAACCTGGCCAAGACCACTTCTGTAGTAAACCTGGCCAAGACCACTTCTGTAGTAAACCTGGCCAAGACCACTTCTGTAGTAAACCTGGCCAAGACCACTTCTGTAGTAAACCTGGCCAAGACCACTTCTGTAGTAAACCTGGCCAAGACCACTTCTGTAGTAAACCTGGCCAAGACCACTTCTGTAGTAAACCTGACCAAGACCACTTCTGTAGTAAACCTGGCCAAGACCACTTCTGTAGTAAACCTGGCCAAGACCACTTCTGTAGTAAACCTGTAGAGTTTAGGAAGTAGGTCTAAAAGGGAACATTTCAAAGCCTTTTTGATACAGAAGAAAAAAAATGCATACCGAAGCTCACATTTCTGGTAGGGTAGGGTAATAAGGGGAGAGACTGCAATCAGGTTAGCACAATATAATATGAGTAAAATAAAGTAGGGTTGAACCTGAAAAAAGGAAGGCAACAAACAACTAAAGTGTCGGCAGGAAGCCTTCGCCAGTGAACAAAAAAACAGAAAAAAAAAAGTATAAAAATAAAAAATAGCACTTGGCTTAGAGGTAGTATCCTGGGCAGCAAATGAATTGTGACAGAATTAAGCCAGCACCCAAAAAAGGGCAAAGCCTTAAGTACTGTCAAGGTTTGCAGCATAACCCCCCCCCCCCCAAACAATGATTTTTCAACTTGACAATAGCCAAAGGAGAATACTTACTTGACAGTGGTATTTGGTATTAACAGTTATAAATATTACCTCATTCACAATTAAAACACAAATTAAAAAAAAAAAAAATTTGAGAGAAAATATTTTATTTTCATTGAGTTGGAACTTGCATGTATTAGATTAGAAAAAAAACATTTAACTTAAAACTATTTCATTATTTGTCGTGAGTCCATGTGGTAGCCAACCACAATCCAGTACTTCTGTACAATGTAATTGTTCAAACCACTATTTGAGTGCATCATTGAAGGCTTAAGAGGTCCACCTAACTGGTACCGCTGTATCCCTTCGGCTGGACAGTGCTGCACACCTATGTCAGCATGGGCAGCTGGATGGAGTAGATGGTCTCACTGTCAGTCCCACACAACAACGTGCTGGACTCGATGTCCAGTGAGTTGACCGGTAGAGATTTGTTAGGTAACAAGGAGGCAATGTCTAATTTATTCTTGGACGTCTCTAGACTCAGCCAGGGGCTGATAATCCCGCCAGCCTTGTTATCTTTCCCTGGAGAAAAACAAAACAAAGTTAATGATTCCCAACTCACAATGTCTATATTTAGCGGATATCTGTAAACATTGGTACGGTGTTATACAATGATATGATTATCCTGTACAAACCACCCATTTTCGGGTACAAAAATTTGCAAAGCTTAATGAATATCTGTCGAAGACGGTTAAAGTGACACACACACAAGACATTAGTGCCATCGCCTTGCGTTAATCATGTGTGTGTGTGTGTGTCAAATCGTCCCCACTCCCTTGAACAAATTCGAGATCCGCCAATGACTAAGTGAAACATTCGGGTCACCCAACAACAAAAGTTAGATTTAAAAAAAAAAGAGTTTTCGTCAGGTATGACAGCATCCCAAAGGGAAACCGGGGAAATCACACACACACACACAAAATAATGACCTTTGATTTCAGGGATTAAGTTGGCACATTAATACTAACTGGCAGCTTGATGGGAGGCAAGGATTAGGATTTGGCTGTAAAAAACAACAAAACAAGAACACATTTTTCAGTAAAAATTGATTTTTAAACATAGAGAGTTAGTGGTGGAAAAGGATTGTGTTATGATGCCAAAGAAGACATGTTATATTCGAGGGACTTCACCTTATTGTTGATCAAGGTCAGTGACTTCAGATTACCAACGGGGGTGTCAGTGACTTCAAATTACCAACGCAGATTTCATTGACTTCAGATTACCAACGGGGGTGTCAGTGACTTCAGATTACCAAATGGGGTGTTAGTGGCTTCAGATTACCAACGGGGTATAAGTGACTTCTAATTACCAACGGGGGTGTCAGTGACTTCAGATACCAACGGGGGTGTCAGTGACTTCAGATTACCAACGGGGGTGTCAGTGAATTCAGATTACCAAAGTACCAAAGGGGGTGTCAGTGACTTCAGATTACCAACGGGGGTGTCAGTGACTTCAGATAACCAAAGTACCAACGGGGGTGTCACACTGAAGTCTAATGGTTAGTACCAAAGGGGGTGTCAGTGACTTCAGATTACCAACGGGGGTGTCAGTGACTTCAGATTACCAAAGTACCAAAGGGGGTGTCAGTGACTTCAGATTACCAACGGGGGATCAGTGACTTCAGACAAAGGAGATTGTAACTTTTGGTCAGAAACCCCGTTGATTAACAGTAACAGTTCTAGCCCGCGACACAATGCCGGCGGCAATGCGTGAACTTCCCAGCTGCTAAAATTACTTGACAAACACGCATTCAAAGAAGAATTTATAAGAAATCCATTTTTGCTACACCCCCACCCCAGGTGCGACAATATTGATATTCTCATGTGGCAGCCTCTTTTACACCGCTGTTGTACATACAACATTTTAAATTGAGATTATTTCCGTAAAACAAAAGAAGATATTTCACATCCAACGCAATTTGCGGTATTTTAAATAATCTCATATAGCGCCGTTATCGTAAAATTTATTTTGCACGCTGTTGAACACCCCATGCTTTCTTCCATACCTAGAGCATTGTATGTATACTAGATATAGCCCACGAAACATTGGCGACAGCAATGCGCGAACTTCCCATCTACTAT